TTTTTTTTTTTTTTTTTTGGTTTCTGAGAGGCAGTATGGACAAATAAAGAGTCTGGGATGCTGAAAAGTGGATGCCAGGAATTAATCCCTATTTCAGCCCCTAACTGAGTAACTCAAGCAACTGCCATCCTCTTTTTAACTGTGTTTCTCTCTATTCTGACCCAGTTTTCTTATTCTTAATGTACCAATATCAAATTTCTGTCTATCTTAAACTTTGAGCATTCCAAGATCAAGAATCAAGCATTTAATTCATCTGATAATACAGAGCCTCCTACCCTGCTGTAGGGTCTAAGATGGGAGCTTTGGATGTGGTCCCTGCGCTCAAAGAGCTTATAAACTACAGGGGAGACAGATCTCTTACAGTGAAGCAAGTGCAATGTAAGAAACATAAAAATTACTATGGGAAAATTGGCAAGTCAGGGAAACTACAGTTAGGGAGGAAATTTTAGCCAGGCCCATGTAAATGCAAGGATAGAAGCTTTGGAAGAAGAAAGTAGAGGAAGAGGGAGAACAGCAATAAGCAATGGGTTTGAAGTCAAGTGCCTGAGGTCAAGTAGAGTGAGGGTGAGGCCTGGGGAAGAGGAAAGAATATTGCTTTTCTGATACACGCCTCATAATATATGAACAAGATAAAACTACCCTGGGCTTTGAAGCATTTGAGACTTTAGAGAGAATCTACACAAATTAGATTTTGTATTTTTTGTAATCAATTGAAGAGAAATCAATTCAACATTTACACAGTATTATTTCTTTATGCTCTTGCTTTTGCATAGTCTTTGCCCCTCAAAAAGCTGGCCCGAGGCTTAGAAACCCTACTTCTATTTTGCAAACCTGAATAGAAACAGTTTCTGTGACCTATATCTTAAAATTGTAAGTCTTAAATAGTTTAAAAGTTCACATACATGGCTCCAGCTCTTCAGGGAAGTAAAAGTAAGTGATTTTCTCAGGGTTTTACATGAGGTCTTTAAACTACCTACACACAACTTGCCAGAGAGAGCATGCAAAGTTGCCTTCTTAAAATTCCCTGTTGCTCTCAAAGGAAGTCCTACTTATTGTGTGTCCCTTCTTATTCTTTAAACTATCCCTTTAGTTTCCATGTGGCTTTGTGCTGAAAGGAGTCTATCACCCTAAGGAAGTACATAGAGGGAAGTCTGTTTGTTGTCCCGGAATACATTCTCCATTCCAGCAAGGAGAATTTCTTTCCTCCAGTCTGAATCTTCTTTCTCTAACCCCTTCTCCTTCAAAACTTAGATGTGTTACAAGATCTAATTAGACTTAACTGTTTAAAACCCCTTATTAACGCCAAAGCAGAAACACGCCTCCTTACAAAACTGCTTCAGTTTTTTTTTTTTTTTTCCAAGAAGCCAGGCCCTCTTTTTCCAGCTGAAACATTCTTTGAAAAACATTTCAGTAAAACATGAAAAGGTTTTATTTAAAAATGAACTGAGTGCTATTCAGAAAGTTTAAACATTGTATCTTTGAGCAACTTCCTATTAATGACTTGCTATCTAATCTGGCATTGCTCCCACTAACCCTCCCACTGCTCTTCCTTTGGGAAGTCATCCTTAATTCTTAGTCTGGACTTGAAACCCTTGACTTGAAACCCTGGGTCTGGAGCTCCACCATAGCAATCAATTATGTACATCTCAATGGTAACCAAAGGACATTTTTGCTTCTAGAATTTTCCTGTATTCTTTGCCCTTTCTAGATGTCCTTGCACAACTGCTTCTCATTTTTGTTTTGTTTATATAAACTCCCTCAATCATCACTTTTCTTCTTTAGCTAGAATTAGATACAACATTATTCTCTGATGACAAACCCTCTCCAGTTTGATTTCAAAGTCTAGAAACAATGAAGCCTGGCTTTCCATGTGATTTCAGCTTCTCAAACTCCTGCTTCGTTGAACTTTGCTTTGAATCTCATTACATGTAAACAGTTACTTAAGACATTTTTTACCCAAGATGCTTTTTTCAAGAGCTAATAGCTCATAATCAGAATAAAACATTTTGAAAAATAGACACATGTATGATTTATCTAACATATATAATAAATATGTTTTAGAATATGTACTTTTCAGGAGATATAGGCCTCATTTGAGAGTTACCATAAAATCATAATCATTTGATTCTAACTACACTTTCTACCACACCTGAAAGCTTCAAAGTCAGGAAACTAGAAAAGAAAAATCACAAGAAAGAAAAATATATACATGTTAGAGAAAGTACTGTTGTCTACTCTGAAGGCATATGTGTGTACATATAAACATACAATCAAATGTATTAAAGAACTGGAGAGGAAAAAAAAATGAATGATACTTCTCCTGTTCAAGTTTCTCACAATCTAACAAGAGAAAAAGACACATCCCATAAAACATAATACAGGGTAGTAAATCTTATTTTTATATAAGTAAAGACTTTAGGACACAAATCAGGTATATTTAATTAAATACTACTGAGCAATTTAGAGTTAATTTTACTAGGTCTTAAAAGATTACTAGAACTTCACCAAATGAAGGTTGGAAGATGAGTAAAAATACACTAGGGCAGAAAAATACATGAAATAATCTGGTGATAGAAACTTCCAGAACAAAGACTTTCTTCTGGCAAATGGCAGATTAGAATAATAATGTAAGACTGAAATCAGATATAAAGGTCCTTGCATGCCTTGCTAAGATTTTGTTTAATTCACAAAGCAACTATACACTATGAAAAGATGTTAGGCCAGTGTTAGATCTATATTTTTAAATTATAATTCATGGTACATTCAGATGATTGATTATATGTAAAGATTAAGAGACAAGCTGAAAAATCAATTAGAAAGCAAAGTTGAAGGGCTATGGATATAGCACAGTGGTTAAGTGTCAATCCCAGTAACCCCCCACAAAAAATTTTTTTTCAGAAAGCAAAGTTAATGCTTGCAATCATAAAGTCCTGTTCTAGGGTTAGTATCGTGGGACAGGAAGAGGAGAACTTATAGCACATATTTTAGAAGTAGAAACTACATAGTTATCAACTGGTTGGGTAATTAAAATGGAACTGCCACTAGCTACCACTGAGAAAACCCTCTTTTTGCAAAGAGAAGTACTTAGAGAACACTAAATGGAGTGTGAGACACTCAAGTGGAGATTTACAGAAGAAAGTTAGAGCTCAAGAGAGAGGCTAGACCTAGAATCACAGCTTCAAGTCTCATAGAGACAAAAAAAAAATAAGGTCAACACTAGGGACAAGTACATGGAATGGGGGGGCGGGGTGACAAGGAACATCACATCAAAGGGAAAGGAGAAAAAGAAGGCCAGAAAGAGGAAGTCTGGAAAAGGCAGGAGAAGCAAAAGAGAGGGTGCAACAAAGACAAAGGGGAGAGAAGGTTGCAAAAACAACCAAGAGGCCAAAGGGGCAGAATGTCTCAAAAAGTTGTTGCCAATTGGAGCACTAGGAATTTTAGAAGAGGAAATTCAGAAAACTGAAGAAAGCAAACTAGATTTGCAGGGGCAGAAGGAGGAGGAGCAGGGGATGCCGCTCCAAATCATAGGAATGAATGACCCAGGAGAAGAGTAGGAGTTGGGGGTGGCTTGGCTTGATTTTGAGGTATTAAAATCAAGAATATACCTTAAATCTCAAGGCCACTACTTTGTCATCATGAAGCATAGAAACATTGAAGCCTGGCTTTCCATGTGATTTCACTTCTCAAACTCCTGCTTCATTGAACTTTGCTTTAAATCTCATTACATGTAAACAGTTACTTATAACATTTTTTACCCAAGATGCACAATTTATCCTTCCTGACCATGGCCTTTCCAACCAATGGAGGATGTTAGGAAAGAACATGGTTTCACAGTAAAAGTGGGTATTAGAATTCAGATGATTTGGGAAAAGCATTGAATAAAGGTAATCCGCAAACCCCAGATCCTAGGGGCTGCAAAGAAGCCCATGAAAAAAGCTTGCAAGAAGATATCAGGAGGGAAGAGGAGAAAAGGAAAGGGAGACATATAAAGTATTGAAGGTGGAGGAAATGAAAAAAGGCTTTTTTTATTTCGAATGTCACTGGACCCTTGAAAGAGCATTTTCAGTAGAGAAATGAAGCAGAAGCCAACCTTGGGAAGTAAATAGTGGTAATGTCCTGATGTACCCTTCAATTCTCATATACAATAAATGATTTATCTTCTATATACAATGAACTGTTATATATTATCTGCCTAAGTGTGTGTATATATATTCATGAACACACACATACACACATTATGTTTTATATAGCAATGGCCTTATGGCAATACTATTCAGTCATGAACCCCATCAGGATATTTTAGTCAAGGACAGACCAAATACATATCACCTGGTGACATCATGGCCAACTTAATTTGTGAAAGTACGCTGTATGATATTTACATACACCAAAAAAATGCCTTCCAGGAGAAGTGATGCACACCTATAATCCAAGCAACTGGAGAATCTGGGGCAAGAAGATCACAAATACAGGAGGCTGAGGCAGGAGGATCGCTTGAGTTCCTCATCAACTTAATGAGGCTCTAAGCAACTTAGGAAACCATACCTCAAAATAAAAAATTAAAATAGCTGGGAAAGTAGCTTAGTAGTAAAGCATCCCTGGGTTTAATCCCCAATACAAAAAAAAAAAAGAATTTGAGTAATGATACATTTCTCAGAACATATCCTGTTGTTCAGGGTCATATGACTATAAATTATATTTCATGTTAAGAAAATCACAAAAACATACACATACCACAATAAAATATCTTTTGAGGTTCAAAAAACTCATAAGGTATATTAATTACTATAGAATTATTGCTTTGGGGCTCCTCTTTTAAAAAATACTGGTGATTTTGGAAACACCTAGCATCCCAAGGAGGATTGTTATTGTGCCAATATAAGGAGAAGAAGGTGAACAAAGTTTGTGAAAAGGATTATATGCTAGAGTTTCTATGGTGCTTCTTGATTTGACTAAACTTCATTCTCTTTCTCTCCTTCCTGTCCCCTAATCTCCCACAGTGGAATGGAGTATGTCTAAAGACTTTTCTCCCTTGGCTGGAGAAATCATCATGGATAACCTACAGACGCTGAGATGCACAATCACAGGACTTAAGACGGTAAATGTCCTTGTGGTAGGCTTACCATTCCCTGTCACTGACATTTGTGCTGGGATGTTGGTAGCAAATGCCTATTCTGGAAGCCACAGCCAACACCCAGTCCTCTGGCAACAACTGCCACTCATTAAGCATGATATGTCTGGTATCCATAATCTGAATTTCACAAAGGAGTGAGCAGACAGCATGAACCACTTTGTAAGTTGCCATGTTCTAAGGAGATCAGAAAAAGACTGGCCTCATGCAAGCCTTGAAAGCTGCTGCTTTCTGGATCACAGTCTAATCTTCGGGGGATCAAAGGCTCTGAGAGATCCAATTTTGACTCCCTGTCTGATGGTAAAAATAACAGCCCCATCTAGCCTCACCCCCACAGCCTTAGTTGAGATCAGTCATCAATTGGAGTCACACAATTTCCTGAAAGATATCCTTTTCCCTTGATTAAAAAGAAAGAAAGAAAAAAAAAACTGTCTAAATTTGCTTTCACAAGAAAGAAACTATATATGGTGGAGCTATGTTTCTCAGTAACCTAAACCAATTTAAACTGTGAATGAAAAACTGGCACAAACCATGTTTATTTGTACAACCAGTATAAACTCAAATTATTTATGAAATTATGAACCATAAGAGCATGTGAAATACACACACCAAGAAAAAAAACAGAAAATTAGTTCAAACACAAACCCTGTATTTCCTCAAATAACTACAATATAAAATATTTTAAAAATTCTTTCTTTTAATAAAAATTGTTTTAAAGTAAAAAAAAAATCAAAACTTCCATATTTTTTGTTCCATTCAAATAATATCTTAAGAATTTTGCATGGAGGCCATAGAGGGACAATTCTGTTGTTTTCTTAAAGGTTAATCAATTAAAACTATTATTTGAAAAATATAATCCTGAAACCCAGTACTAAAAAGGTGCATTAGGTTGCATCTTTTTAAGCTTTAGCCATATTATTCTAATAGAATTCTTGGTGGTTGGGTCACCACCAAGAATCCTGACTTTTAGTCTTAATCACTTGTCTATACCAGGGGCCAGAACTGTGAATTACTGGAGCAAACAAACCCCGGAGTGGGTGGCCCCCCTAGATGCTATCAGCAGAAGACTGATTCCAAACCCATGGCTCACATGGTGGAAGAGGGCCAGAAGGAACCCTAGGGAATTTCCATTGCTTAAAAGAAAAAGTGATATGGTGATAAAAATGGAAAACTCTCCATAGACGGTTTCTCTAATATCTGTACTAATTCCTACAGGGATTAAGTTTTTCCACTTGGCCATCCAATGAGAGCAATGCAGACACTATCCTAATCATATAAAAGCCTAGAAGTAGATTTACACTTCTACATAATCCTTATAACCTTGGGGTGCATAGAAATCCATATTCAGTGTTAAAAAATAACTTCATAGTATGGTAAGGCCAATATTATTAAATCCCTAGCAAAAAGCTCCACAAAGATATATGATTTTTTAAACTTCAAACAACATTTTACAATTTTTGCAAGCAATATTTCATCAAACTCTGGCTTCTCAAATGCTTCTTTGATTCATTAGAAAAAAAGGAAAACCTCAAAGCAAAGAAGAAAACATACAAAAAATTCTAATGAACTATCAGCAAACAAAAAACAACTCCTTAATGCCATAAAAAAATTAAAGAATATAAGCCATTATTTTAATAATAGTTTTAAAATGGAAATCAAATCAGAGTTAATTTTTAAAATGTCTGAACAGCCAACTTAAGGATACTTATTGCAGCATTATTTGTTGTGGGGAAAAATGGAAACAATTCAAATGTCTACCAATAAGGGATGGTTAAATAAATGACAGTATCTTCTCACAGTGAAGCCACTGAAAGAATGAAGCAAGTTTTTAATGGACTATTCTGAAAAGATATTCATTACAGCTTGTTAATTTCTAAACTTTATCAACTAAAGGGGTGATGGCTGATGCCTCTGGGGAGTGAAAAATAAGAAGAAAGAGGAAAGAGTAGAGGTCACTGTTTTGGGTAAACCTTATAGGACTGTGTGATTTTTAAAGAGTAATGTTTGGCCGGGTGTGGTGGTACACGCCTGTAATCCCAGTGGCTCAGGAGTCTGAGGCACAAGGATAACAAGTTCAAATCCAGCCTTAGCAACTTAGCAAGGCCCTAAGCAACTTAGACGCTGTCTCAAAATTTTAAAAAATTTAAAAAGACCTGAGGATGTGGCTCAGTGCCTAAGAGCCCCTGGGTTCAATCTCTTGCACCAAATAAAATAAAAAATAAAAGTAAAAATTTAAAAATTGGTGTATAAATTTTGAGGCTTGCCATTTTGCCAGGTTGGTGGCACATGCCTAATATCCCAGAGACTCAGAAGGCTGACACAGGAGGATTACAAGTTCAAGGCCAGCCTCAACAACTTAGCAAGACCTTATCTCAAAATAAAAAAATAAAAAGGGCTGGGAGGGTTGGAGATATAGCTCAATTGGTCAAGTGCTTACCCCACACGCACAAGGCCCTGGGTTCAGTCCCCAGCACCAGTAAAAACAGGGGTCGAGGCGGTGCTGGGGATGTGACTTACTTATTAAGCACCCTGGATTCAATCCCTAGTACCCCCAACACACAAATTAATTAATTAATTAATTAATTAAAGGGAGTGGGAATTAGGAAAAATAATTATAACATTTCAATCTTTAAAACCAAAAAATACATAGAAACAAGGCACTTTAATATGGCTACTATAATTTATAAACATAATGCTTAAGAAAAGTCAGAAAGCTATAGTATGGACAGAAGAGTTCAAAATGGATGAGCAAGCTAATGCAAAGATCTGCTTCTAGGGAAAAAAATGATTGACTGAAATGTCTAATGTATTATTCTATTTCAATTCTTTGCAGGGCCAACAATATTTTGTTCAGGTCTCGGCTTATAACATGAAAGGATGGGGACCAGCTCAGACCACGACACCGGCATGTGCCTCTCCTTCTAGTAGGTGCTGGCTACTCTCAGGCCTGGCAGCAGGCTCCAACTCTAGCTCCCTCTCTGTGGTGCCCTGGCCATCCCCTCTCACACTACTTGCAACCCACCAGACCTTCTCAGGGCAGCATCTCAGACACAGAATGAGTGATTCCTCTGCAAAAACACTCCTGGGACAGCAGCTCAGTAGGTGAAAGGAGAGGGAACTTGGAACCAGAAAGACTGACCTTATATCCCATATCACGTGTGCCTTCAAAATCAAACTCTCAAAACTGCAATTCAACATCTATAGAATAGGCCTAATCATATCCTTTCACAGGGCTGTAATGGGAATGGAGAAACGGTACCGTGGGAGCTGCTGGCCCAGAGTACATACAGTCCATTTTAGCTCTCCTCTCCCCTTCTTTGCCCCCAGTGGACACATCATATCCATTCCTTAACAGAATAGAATCTAACATTTTACTCATCTAACATTCTGAGTGAAGAAATACTTTCTTGCTAACAGGCTCTGCAACAAACACAATCTGTATCATTTGTAGTGTTGGCTGAGAAAACCAGCAAAGGCCTCTTCTATTTGCTTGAAGATTAATAATTCATGCCTGGTATGTTTGGTGACTTTCTCCTAACCAGAAAAGGTAGTTAACCAGAACAAACAACTCCAGACAGACGATAAGATAGATTTTTCTCTGTAATGAGCCCAGAGCCCTGGATTGTGTTTTCATCTTTTTAAAAATATGTCACTAATGTGATAGTTTAAAATGGTATCGTATGCTTCTTGTGAGAGTTCAAACTACTACATCCTTTATGGAACACAATTTCCCATAAGAAAATTTTCCCTTAAGAAAATCCCTTTCCTTTTATCCCATAATCACACATCTAGGAATCTAACCTAAGGAAACAGAAATATAGATAAACAATTATATACAAAGATGGGCAGTGCCACAGTATATGGATAACAATGAGTAATGAAGAAAATAAATCCAATATTAATTTAATAGCTAAGTAAAACATGATATATACGTATTCATCATACTATAGAACCAAACATAGCCACTAAAAATGGTATTTCAAAAAAGTCATTCAATACATGAAAGAAATTTCTACTATACAAATTTTATGTAAAAATTATAAAATGTGGAGATCTTTTCTGTAACATTTGATCATTAATTTACCTATACTTAGATACAGTGTCTGTGACTCTTGATAATTATCAAAATTTAACAGTGGTCATTTAGGTTATGGGATTATGATGGGCTCCTTTAGTTTATTGTTTTATATATATGTAAATTTCTCAAGTTTTATAACAATACTTTACCCAAGATGAACCATGAGCCAAGCAATACATTATAGATTTTCATATCTCTCTCTTAAGCCTCACAGCAATCCTTTATCTTCCTCCTTGTCCTATAGATAAGCATTATTATCATTATTATCTGTATCACTATCAAAATTAGAGATAACCTTCATAAGACTCATAATATGCAGAGCATCAATCTAAGTACTTTACATGGATTGATCCATTTTACTAGATAGGGAACTATTAGCACAAACACAAATACACAAATTGGGATTCAGAAATGATGTTCCTTTTCCCCAAGGTCACAACACTTGGTAAGTGTCTGAGTGAGGATTCAAACCTGAGCTGGTCAAGACCCTGCTGTGTCTCCTGTGCCATAATAACTAACCATCAGGTAGACAAGCCGACTAAGAGCCAACCAAACAGCCTGACCACCACCTATGGTGGGTTCAAATAGCTATACCAGTTCATATAGAGCCAGAGAGCTCCAAGACCCCTGAGTCCCTCTGAATTTGATGACTTAATTACTCCAGTCTTATTTGAATATCTTTATGGCTGAAGATTTATCAGAAACACAAACTGAAAATTACAAGATGATGATACTAAAGGGGACCATCTGTGACTAGGGAAGCAGGGAGTGTGTATTATTGGAGATGGAGGACAAAAAGTACATAAAAACACAAAATATATTAATTGCCATTGACCTGAAAGTGAAACGGGGAAAACTCACTCCAAATGCATACCCATGCAGATTCTAATCTATATACAGATGCATAAAGTTCAGGTTCAATTCTATAAACTACAAATGTGTGCAGATACCCTCTCTCAGAGCATATTTGAAGAGCTCACTCTGGAGTAACAAGAATAGTTGTTCAGGACTCAGGGGAGTCATTTATTTGTTGGTAATTTAAATAGAATGCTTTCTAAACTGGTATGTGTGATTAGTAGGGATAACTGGAAAAGAACTGAAATCCTAACATGTGGTAATAGTTGCTGTAGACATGCCATATCACTTGGAAAGAACAATACAAAAACACTCCCATTCTATTTATAAACAGAGTATGACATTGTGATGTAACATATATCAGTATTCAGATATTTACTAGAGGACAATGTATTCTAACATGACAGAGTAATTGGAAATTTGGTAATATGTTCCAGTAAGCTATAAAACTTTTTTTATATTTTTACAAAAGTCCTTAATGTGTTTTTATAGACCTATGTTATATGGTATGGTACATAATAAGAGAAAAGCACCCAGACAGGCTTGTCTGAGTTACGATCAGGAAAACCCTGATATGGCCAGTGAATGTAAGCTCTGCATTGTGTTGCAATTGAAGTGTCTCATTACCAGAACAGTGAACTGTATTATGTGGCACAATCTGCTCTTTTCCTACCATGCTAAGTTTATTCCTGTTAGGGTCCTGATTTCTTAATATATTTTCAATTTTCTCCCTCATCCCTAAAGTCTCCTATTTTATGTAGTCATCAGAACCTTCCAAACATCTATTAGAAAAACTCATTCTTTCCAAAAACCTTGGCATCAAGTTCAATGCTAACTTGGGCTGCAATTTAGCATTAGCAATTTTCTAATGTATCATAAAATCATTAGTCGAGTTTGCCCCTTGATGTAATAGGGCTAAGCTGGAATAGCCAGAACCATTTTATCTCCCCTTGCTTTGATGGCAGCTTTAACACTCATTAGAAGGATTAGCATGATTAGGGCCACATAGTAATTCAGCCACCCAGGAGTCTTACTCAAGGGCACCATCTTGCTCATCTGTGGTGAGCATTCAGATGTATGCATCCAACTAAGGCAACAAACTCACAATGGCCTTTGGGAATCCATGAGGGCAATGTTTATTATCACTTTGCCCAGAGATGAGAGGCACTAGTCTAAAGGCCACAAGAAATTATTTCCTTAAACTTTACCTAATTTCCCAGTAAAAAACACCCTTCCCTTTCCCAGTGTACCTGAACACCATCAAGCTTTTTAATCATAGTGCCTCACCAGCCACACTCGAATGACAACTGTGCCCAGGATAGTGCTCTACTTACATTGTTTCTTTTAACTCTCAAATAACCTAAAAAATACTTTTAAAACTCAATTTAAAGGAGAAAAATGAGACAGAGATTAAGTAATGATCTTGCCCACAAGGAACAAAGAGTCTATAAAAGTCTACAATTCCCTGTCTACAAAGCTGACCACAGCTAAACCCCAGCCCAAACCCCACACTAGCCTCTGACCCTCCTTTCCAAAATAAAAGAAAATGTCCCTGGGATAATGAAATGAGCATGAGCACTTTCCAAAAGATCACTTGACTATGTTATACCCCATGCCACCAACATGCTCAGTAAGATAGGACTGAAATGGCTGTCTCTGCACTTCAGTCTTCTGAAAGACAGAATGAAGAGTTGTGCATGGGGGAGAATGGGAAGGAAGATGAGTTACAAAATCTCTGAGGTCCCCTTCTTCGTGGGTAATTATCTGATAGGGTAAGAAATGGTGTTTCCATAATGAATTGCCTCCATTTTACATTATTATTTACAGAATTCCTGTCACATAATAGGCATAGTGCCAGAAACCTAATATACTTCTCATGTAATCCCTGTAAAAATCCCACAAAGTATATACCATCCTCATTTTTCAAATTAGGGAGTAGTAGCTCTGTCAGTGTAAGCAACTTGCTTGCAGACAACAATATAGGAATGCGGGGAGCCAGGATTCACACTCAGGGGTATCTGACTCCAGAACCTGTGTTCTTCCTAATGGTATAGCTCTCCTGGCTTGGAGAGACGATGGCAGGAAGCTTTTACTGAATTTTGACTGGCATGACATAGGCTTAACTTTCTGAATGAGGAAGACCCCATATTTCAAAATAAACCTATGGGGAGGGAATTTGGAACTTGTTTAACTAGCGTTTAAGTCTAAGATACACAGTCTTTTCTAGAATTAACAGTCTTTTCTAGGGAAGAGTGACCAGCCTTTTTAGAAAAAGCAGTTCACCTAAGAAGTGCTTTAAGTTGTTGCTTTTAACAGGCTCAGAAAGGAAAATGGGGGGAGGGAAATAGAGGAGAGGAGGGATGAACAATGAAATGACTGACCTGCTGAAAAACAATCTAGAGTTGGAGACAGCAGAATTACAATCTTGACATTAGTCCCATATGAGTTATTACCCTTGATATCATTATAGCCAAATGGAATGAAAATAGAAGAGGGAGAAAAGTCTCAGTGGGTATTGCAATTTAAATTTGCCATGTAAGCTAATACTGTATATTCAAAGACTGAGCAGACAGGGTGGTTGGTGGCTCGGAGTATGTGCAGGGGGTGCTGTGCCAGCTAACCAAAGCAGACATTCATTAGAGCAAAATGTAGATTTCCATTTCTTGGCATCCGACATGGGCTCTTTCCTTGGAAAGAAATGTCAATTTGGCCCAAAGTGTGAAACCTACAATAAAAGCATTGGGACTGTGGATTTCATCTAGTCTGCACATTCCCACCCCTTTCTTTCCTACTGTGGAAATCCAGTTGAGGACTTGGGGTGCTGAGTGGAGAAGTGGCAGGGGGAATTATTAGGATGTGGGATGCTGAAAGGGGCAGGGGGCTATGATAGGGGAGATTGGACTCCCAAATGTCCTATTTTCTTTTGGTTTTCAATTGCCATTTTCCCTTGCCCTAAAACTGCCCAGCACAAGAAACCAACCACAATTACTGTTTTGCTCAGGGCTCTGAACAATGGCAGCTTCCAACTACTTGGCTAGCTGTGGGTGTGCTGGGTGCTCATCCACAGAGCCTGCGGATAGTGTGAGCAAAACCCCAGCTCCTGAAAGGCTGGGCAGGGAAGAGGCCTCCCCTGCTTTAAAATTTCACTCTGTTTGTTTCTTTTGTTCAATAGACTGGAAAGACTATGACGACAGAGAGCCCAGACACAAGGGACAGAGCGAAGTTTTGGAGAGTCTGCTGCAGCAGGTCCGAGCCCTTCATCAGCATCACAGTTGCCGGGGTAAGGATAAAAATCTGAGCTGGGCCATCGAGTGAGGTCTCAGTGGCGCCGGTAATTTTAGCAGTTTCCTAGCTGGGTCATACCTTCTCATTCATCAGGGAGAGGGAGATATTAATATTTGTACATCTGGAATCACTTTACAGCACTATCTTGCTTTAACCCTTCAGCAGAGACTTCCCTTTTCCTCCCTCCCTTCTTTTCTTTTTCCCTCTCGCCCTCTCTGTATGAACAGTCTGAAAATAAGCACAAGAAAAACAGCAGCTGCCATAAGTTCCTTTCTCTTTGAATTGTATTCTCCCAAGACTCCTCCATGGTGCTGGGTCTTTGGGGATATTCAGCCTCAAAATTTCCACCCCCAAGGGAAATTCCCTGAGCATCCCTGAGGGAGCGCAAACAATTATAAAGATAATCATAAGAAGTCTTCAAATCTATTTAGAATATAGTTTGCAATGCAAAATTTCATAGTGTCTCCTTTTCTTCCTCATTTTGGCAGTTATAACTGAGGCTAAGTGACTTGCCCTAGGTCACCATGCCAGGAAAAGACAGAATCTGGATCCAACCTGAGTTTTCTGATTCCAAGTTCAATCATCCTGCCACACCTTATTTCTTTAGTTTCCCAGCCTACATCAGGACTGGATGCTGAACTTTTAATCTCTCCCTGAATATTACTGCTCCTCTGCACCACTGTGCAGGAGAAAGGCTGGCACACCTTCCCTAGATCTAAAGCAACTGCACCCAGAGAATCTCTTCCGTTGTTTAACTGAGACATGGTCAGATTTCTGATCTATGCAAGGATTCACAGAAGAGGTACTTACTTTATTTGGAGAATTAAAGTCTCCATAAAGTTTTCATTTTCCACCCTCCCATCAGCTCTTCAGCTACATTGTGCTTTCCAGATTTAGGGCACTGCTGGGCCAGGGAGGGAAGAACTCCACAGTTGAAACTAAGAGATGCTATGCTAGCTTGTTTGCACTAGGTATAAATCATACTTAGCATTAGCAAAAAGTTTTCCCAATTACCATACAGCTATGACAACAGGGCCCTTCAGAAATGTTGGCTCCAGCTAGCAATGAGGACAAGTGTTTGCGAGAAAATAATGTTTTTCTAATGACTGGTTCATTAGGAGATGTAAATATATATGGAAGCAGCTTGAGAAGGAAACCCTAGTGGGATTTCCATTCCCTGCTCTCTAGGAAGAATGTACCCAAACTGGGACCTTCAACACTTCACACTGACTGAAGTCCACACAGTTCTGTTATCCAGGGCTCATCTAACCCAGCTGGGGATTACCTGGGCTTCTTTCTCTTCTGCCTCTCCATCACTTCCCTTGTCCATTGTTTCCTGTATGGAAGCAAAAACAATAAAGCAATTAAACTGATGGTTCTTTACAATTCATAAGCACTTTATTTTTGGTCCTTATCAGAGAGGGAAAGCTAAAACTACTTGTAAGGATGATGGGGCCAGGCTTGGTGGCACATGCCTATAATCCCAGCAACTCCCAAAGCTGAGGCAGGAGGGTCACATGTTCGAGGCCAGCCTCAGCAATTTATGAAGACTCTGTCTCAAAACAAAAAATTAAAAGGGCTGGGGATGTAGCTCAGCAGTAAAGCACTCCTAGATTCAATTCCCAGTAATAAAAAATAAAAGAATGATGGGGTTTCCCCCTAAGATTCCTTTTGGATTACTATCTAATAATCAGGAAATGACTGCCTGGCCAGCCTATTTCTATAGTTGCCATTCAACTTCTGTCATGTATATTCTAGTTACTGCAGGAACATAAATATATACATGATATTAGGAAATATTTAAGTTAGGCCTAAGGTAGAGTTTCCTAAAAAAAAGAATTGTTTTTTATATTGAAATGCACTCTGAACATATAAAGATACTCAGATTGTACCCAAAGAACAGCTGTTCTATAAGATACTCAGTTAGAAAAGGTTCTCTTTGTTAGGTAGTTTGAGAAATGCTACATTTTTCATCCCTCTCTCAGAAATGTAAAATAAAAATTAGAATATTAAAGACACTAATAAAGAGGCATAATAAATTTGGTTAAACAAGCATTTTCCAAACTTCTTCAGCAATGTAAAGCATTTTCATAACATTACTACTCCAAGGCACAAATTTTATAAAATGCTGATCTGTGATACACCAAGATTAAGGGTATTAATGTGCACAAAAAAAGGTGTGATTTGAAGATGACTTAACACAATTTCATCTAGTTTAACAAATAAATGAAGACTAATATAAGTATTGTTTACAGAGAACTAGAAATTTGCTATGTAAAATATTCAATCACATTGAGCCAGGTACCACCAGTGGTGCACGCCTGTAATCCCAGCAGCTTGGAAGACTGAGACAGGCGGACCACAAGTTCAAAGCCAGCCTTAGCAACAATGAGGCACTAAACAATTCCATGAGACCCTGTCCCTAAAAAAGTACAAATTAGGGTTGGGAGTGTGACTCTCTGGTTTAGTGCCCCTGAGTCCAATCCCTGGTACCCACCACCCCCACAAAACAAAACAAAAATAATTCAACCACATTGAGATACTATGTGGCTTACTGGGAATGTAAGTCTTTATAAAATTTATAATTAGAAAAAATAATTATTTTAAATCCCAGTTCTACCATTTGTTAGCTGTATGTCCTTGGGGAAATCATTTAACATCTCTGAGCCGAAGCTTCCTCATCAGAAAAATCAGGATAATAATATCCAATTTGCAGTGTTGTTATGAGGATTAAATCAGATAATAGATTAAATTCACCTAGGACAATGTAAGCCCCTTGCAAACTCTAGCTTGTCTTTCTTTCATTGTTCTTCCAGATGAAGAAGGATACTTGCTATCTTCAGTGCTTTATTGATATACCTTAAAATTAAAGTGCAGTCAGTGACTCCACTGAGATGAGGTGGTGTAGTCATTAAATACACAGTAAATTCCAAATACAGAAGTAATACAACATCTCTTCTCCTACCAGAACCCTGCAGAGACAGTGCGGAAACTCACAGAACCAGAATTGTGCAACAAATCCGCAGGCTCAGTGCTAGGATGAAAATTTGAGGGAGACGTAAAACAAACTTTATTGTTTGCACAGTTCATGCCCTTAACAGACATAGTGAATTATAAAGCAGCCCACTGTTTTCATCCTAACAGAGTGAGTTTCAATTATCATGCAATTATTCAATTTGCAAACTGACATTAACTGAAACCCTGCCTACTATGTGTCAGGTGCTAGACAAGCTAGTATGAGCAAAGGAAACTTCCTGTGCTCCAAGCACTTACTGCTTATAATCCCCAGACTATTCTCCGGTTGGGTCAATCTTCTCTCAACATAATCAAGTACATCAGGCATTGCTTCAGTCATATCTCCTTGAGCAATGCTCTCGTGAGGCCCTGCCCTGCTGCCACTTGGGCAGGTAACTAGCTGCCTCCATGCTCAGTGTACAGCAGTCCCCCTTTCACTACCATGTTACAGACTCTTCCTATCGCTCTCCAGTGTTGGATTTCTATTTTCTGTACCCCAGGTCTTCCTCTTTCCTGTGGGGAGATCTTCTTCTAGTACCTTCCTGAGAGGGTTACTTGGGAACTAATTTTTGGAGGCATCCCATGTCTAAAGAGAGATGTATTCTACTTATCATTTACTCATAGTTTGAGTTTGAACAAGTGTAGAATTCACAGTTGAAATCATTTTCCTTCAGATTTGCAAGACTTTGCTGTACGTCTTCTAGCTTTTGGAGATGACAAGTCTGATGCCATTCTGATTCCAGAAGTTCTATTCCCCACCCCCCTTTCTGGAATGTTTTCATTTTCTTTTGACTTCACTATTCTAAAATTTCACTGTGATGTGCCTTAGAATCTTTGTCTGGTTTCCTGGGCACTTGGCAATTGCAGAAGTTTACATCCTTCAATTGTGTGACATTTTCTTATTTATTTAATTATTCCCTCACCTCCTTTTCCTCTCCTTTCTTCTACCAGCACTCTTTTTATTCAGATGACAGATCTCCTCCATTGATCCTTTCATTTTCTTTTCTTTTGCTTTTTTTTCGTCACTTTCCATCCAATGTCCTTTTACCCTAGTTCCTTGAAGGCCAAATCAGCTTTATTTTCTAAGCCTTCCACTGGATTTTTAAGTTTCTGATATTATTTTTTAATTCTTAATATTCCCTTTTTCCTATAATTGGATCTTTTTATAGACCCCTGTCCTTTTTACAGTAATGTGATATTTTATCTCTCAGAGTACTAATGATGGGCTGTACTTCATTTATTGTTTTCTTTTCAGGATAGTCTCTCTATCCTCTAAGTTGTTCTTTTGTTTATTTCTGGTCTTTGTATTATTTCATGCTAAATGTGTTTCTCAACTGCCTGGTGATCCTTTGCCATTTGTTTGGCTAAGAGCCATTAGCATGCTCTTTATTTACAGCCTTCACTATAGGGTGAACTTGTACCACCTTTTCATGGGGAAATCCCCAATGTTGGAATCTTCAGATATATTCTCTTAGGATGGTCAGATTCCCCAGAGGGTACAAGTTCGGGTATCATTGTTCTGAGAACCCAATGGTTTCATCTGGTTTGATATTATAGCACAACTACTATCATCACCCATTTTCTTTGTACCTGATGTCTCCCTATCTCTCACTGCAGAGACCTGTTCTGTGGTTTTGTTGGATTTTGATTTGATTGGGTTGAATTTGAGTTGATTTTTTATTTGTTCATTTGTTTTGCTTTCCAGAGATAAGCCAGTTGCTTCCATTTATGGTGGGGATGGGCTATTTGTCCATCTCTGCAGTAGGGGAGAAGATTTATAAGTCTAGCTGCTTGATAATAGATTTCAGCCAAACCTTCTGATTTTAGCTCCTCATGTACTCCCACTTCCAGCATCTCATGGTGCCCATAGGGTGAGGTGGGTTACTGTTCAGCTTCTTCCACTGCTGCCTTAGACTCTGTCTTTCTCAAGTCCATTAAATCCATCTGTCCATCTGCTTTTCAGCAACCAGAATTTACTTGCTTTTGTCTTATTTCCCATTTATTTGTCTTTATAGATGTTTGTCATTTATTTATTTCACTTTCTTCCTTCCTCCCTTTCTCCCACCCGCTCTTTTGTTTTAGTGAAGTTTAGGAAGAGAGTGGTGTGTGGTGAATATGTTTACTTTGCAGCATTTAACACAGAGTCCCAGCAACATCATTTTCAAGCAGCCAAATTCATGTTCAAGCCAGGGAAAAAAATGTTTTTGCTTTCTTCTTCTAGGAATAACCAATACCAGCCCAAGTTTGAAATACTTCTATCAGTCAGCTATTCCTATAGGCTCACACGTAGAGCCACATGGGGACCTCAGTCATGGGCCATCTGCCCAAGTTTCTTTGCCCAACAGCAGTTATATGGACCGTGTTCTCAGCCCCAGTGACCTGTCTGTTCAAAGTTCAGTGATTCCACCAACAATTTCAGCTTCCTTTCATTTCATAGAATAAGAGTTGAAATTAGTGATCATCTAGTCTAGCTCTATGGAGAAATGTTTGCAAAGACTGTTACAGGAAGTCCAGGAATTCTACTAATTTTATTAGCAAGAGTTTCATTTTGTTAACAGAAGAGCAAAACAGAAGCAATGAATGATTTGCTCACCATTGTAGCTACAGTGCATAGTAGTTGCTCCAAAAAATATATTTGAAAGAATGTCTCAGTTTTTCTAGATAATGGCTCCGCAGTCTTCAGCAATCCACTTCACTTTTCAGCCTGTTTCTTCTTCTGAATAAAGAGGATAATAGGGCTGGGGATGTGTCTCAAGTAGTAGCGCGCTCGCCTGGCATGCGTGCAGCCCGGGTTCGATCCTCAGCACCACATACAAACAAAGATGTTGTGTCCGCCGAAAACTAACTAAATAAATAAATATTTTTAAAAAAGAGGATAATAGCCATACCTATCTACAACTATTTTTGTAAGCCAGCATACAAACCCAGAATGCTGTTAGTAGGAGAACAGAAGTAGGAGTGTGATGGAAGGATTTTGGAGTTTTTTCCTATTTTCCAGACTTTCTGTAATATGCTTATATTGATTTTATAATGAAAAACTTTAATGGGATAAATAGACTAATAAAGAGTGCTTTGGAAACATTGAAAAGTGTGTATGTGTTACTTAGCAATTGGTGAGGTGGGGAGGAGGGCAAAGGAGTTGATTTCATTTCTTTTTATCCTACTTGATAATAAATCACTCATTGTAAGAGAATCAACAGAATATCTGTGGTTTCCATTAGAATTATAAATATTATTCATCTCCTACATTTTTGAAGAGTTATTAATTGAGTTAACCACTGGCATCTCATAAGACTTTCTTATAAGAATGAATAATCCAAATCCCTACATGAAACTGATACGTAACACTGAGGGGACAGAGGATGGGAAAGCAGGAAGAAGGAAAGGGGAGTGTTAATCTGTCACATGGAATTTATGATTTTTTTTCTGTGTTCCAGAAAGTTCAAAATTACAAACCACAGGCCGCAAGCAGTCAGTATCGAGGAGCCTGAAACACCTTTTCCATTCCTCCAATAAGTTTGTGAAGACCTTGAAACGGTGGGTCTTATATAGTTTTCCAGGAAGTCTTAACTTCTCAGGAATGATCTGGTTTTGATTCTGAGTGGAAACTTGGTAGAAATTTCTTCTTTATTAAAGAAGTAAATTCTCCTGAAAATTTAGGCAAGATAGCAATTTCTCTGAGTTCTTGTGATAGACATAGCAGGAATATGTTTTAAATTCATATTTCATCATGTAAAAAAATATTTTTTTCTAAGAGTGAGTTTGGTAGAGGAGACAGCTGAAGACAATTTTTTTATTTTGCTTTTTCTTTTTAGGGGACTCTACATAGCAGTTATATTTTATTATAAAGACAACATGTTAGTCACCAATGAAGATCAAATACCAATTGTTGAAATAGATGATTCTCACACCAGTTCTATTACACAAGATTTTCTGTGGTTCACAAAGGTATTCTGAGTTCTGATTTCATTTTCTTCCCACTTTGCATCAGTGTTCTGCACATAAATCTCTGAAACCTTAGTTGAGGGGGTCTCTAATGATCAAAGTTTTGGGGGTGGAAGTAAATTATCTCAAAAGTCCCTTTCAGACCTAATAGGCTCTATGTCATAAAAAACACCAAAGTAGTGTCTACACTACATTTTCAAAGCAAAGAAGCTTGCATCCTGTCAGAGTATGTCTCCACTATTCTGAGTTATGGGATCATTTGGCAAAGACTAAAATGTGGATCTGACTGTTTCATTAGCATTCAGATCTTTTTCCAATTGGACAGAGATCAAAAAGTTGTTTCGTGTGTATCTGAAAATGGACTGGAGAACAAACACCAGGGTTCAGGTTTCCTTCTCCCAGCTTTGCTTTGATGCCACAACCTAAATCACGCACTGGCCTGGACGATGATATGACCTCGTGACTTCTTTTGCAGCTGTCTTGTATGTGGGAAGACATAAGGTGGCTGAGGCAAAGCGTACCTATCTCCATGTCTTCATCCACAGTGCTGCAAACTCGGCAGAAGATGCTCACTGCAACTGCCCAGCTACAGGTGAGGGAAAAAATTTCAACCCAAACTCTCAAGGAAGTGTTTTATTTATTTTTTAAGTTGGAGCATTCAGTTATCAGTCTTACCTGGAAAGGAAAAGGGTGGGTTCCTTCCTGTTTCAGATCTCTAGACACATGAAGGCATCTTGGACAGTTTGAGCTGCATGTCTACTTATGTGGGAGCCTATGCCTTTGGCATGACCCCCTAAACAAGAACTTAGGAAACTTACATTCTAAATTTGATATTAATTGTTCAACAACTCAGTTCTTCTTAAGGGCTTCAGATTCATCACTTGCAAAACAAGAAGAGTTTGACTAGATGCTGAGGGATGCTTGCTGTTCTGGCAGCCTATGCATCAGTGAATGTGTGGAAAAGGAAACAGAAGCCAGCAGATGTTTTGAGGGGTTTCTGAATGTGACACTTTTGGTAAAGCCATAGGCATTTATGCTTACTCACAAAGGGTCAACAACCAAAAACAACTCTTAAAACAGCTCTCCCATATTATCATTCAAATTAGATCAAGTCCCTAATCCTGTAATAATCTTTGTAGGTCACAAATCTTCTAGAAATGGCATTGAATTCTAAACAAGTTCTTCTGGGTTTTCCTCTCATTGTTTTCTGGTATGGCCTTAATTTGTGCCTCTTAGCACAGAAAATCATCTGCTAAATGAAGTCAGGGTCCTTAGGAGATCACAGAGTCTTTTTCAGAGATGGGTAACTACCTACAAAGCTGACAGTAAACATCAAACTTAGAAATCAGCAGACATGAATCCATGTAAGCTGTGTTTGACTAGACCATACCAGCCATGGTATTAAAATAAGATCATGAAAAAAATCTATGTCCTCCCTACAATTATGGAAACTTCATTTCTTGAGCCCCTACAATAATAATAATTCAATCCTCTGCATGAATAATAATTACTGTGTTGCTAATAAAATTAATTCTGAAAGGTTACTGCTGCCCCTCTGTGCTGTACTTCATTACATAGGTTGTTTACTGCCTTGTGTCCTCAGTGGCCTCAGAGGTTTTAACAAACAGTTCTCTTCATTTCAACCTACTCTTTGTTGCAGAATCTTCTCCTAAACTCAAGGAGAATTTCTTGGATCTGGGCCATGGAAACTGTGCTGAATTCATAGTATTCCTTCCTTTCATCACTGATCCACTTGATTGGACCATACCACTCTCTCTCTCAAACTTCTCGTTCTTTAGGATGAAGTACATACCCAGGGGGCTCAGACCCCTTAGTGGACCTTCCCATTAGCTCACCAGGCAGCCCAGACCTGCATGGATTGTAGACTGAGCAACCTTGGAATTTCAAGCAAGGCTCTTTATCATGTGTTTATTGGAGGCTTCCTAGAACACTTTCATCTGATATCAGTAACATGAGAAGGATCAGGCTGTTACAAGCCAATGAAGTCAGATGCTGAGGGATACCATGATGGCCAGTGTGACCCCACTCAACTACTCTTATTGCAATAGTCTTAGATTTTTTGGCCTCTAAATCTATTGATCCTATCATTTTTCATAATGCATTATGCCTTGTTTAAGTTTTGATTTCTTTATTTATCATAATCATCCCCTTGAAAATATTCTAAATGTTTTCCTCCTATTGTTTACTGGGGAAAAGCTCAAGTCTGAATGATATAGTATAATATGTCTATATTAAAGTAGTTGCATCTTGCTTGCATCTTGCAGGAAAAAACTATTAAAGTAGTTGCATCTTGCAGGAAAAAAAAATATCACACACAAAAGAGGAAAATTGACTGTGTTTGTGTTAAACTCATTCATGAGTGCACTTCTCACATGGAATGTTAACTAGTGTCCCATTCCATTTTTTTAAATAAATTGCTTTCTCACACTATAAAGCAACTATTTAAAGCCTTCTCCTTTCCTCCACACCCCATTCCCCACATTCTCTGTCTCCATCTCAGGTGATGGCTTTACTGTCTAATTCATTAAGTAAATAAATGAGAATGGGAATAATTTTTTCACCAAATTTACAAACCTCCTTGCATTGATCCTACCTTCTCCTTCTTCCTTCCTATTCCAACAGCTAAAGTCTCACTCCTCCTACCAAAGGCTCATCCCTCCACATAAACTCTGGATCCTGTCTCATGCCCCCCACCCGTGCTAATTTAAAAATACTCTAGTATTGCCAATTTGACCTCCCCCAAATTCTCACATGGAATGTTAACCACTTTCCCCTTCAGCTACCAAACAATCTCTCCCCTACCCTCTTATACCCAAAATTTTTAAAACATTACCTACATTATCTTTTTCCATTTACTTCCTCATTTCCCATAAACCCTCAGCCCTCTCTGTCACTTTTGCTGCCACTATGCCTGTAAAACTGCACTCTAAGGCCACCAGTAATCAGAGGCAAATAATGCTAATAAAGCCTGCATGAGCCCTTGTGAGAATGGAAGTCCTGATGTGTTTTAGGTGAGGAGGAGAAGCTGGGTTAAAATCAAGAGGCATTCTGATAAACAGTCTAAAAGAATTTTGAGGAGAAAAGGGGACCAAAAATTCCAGTATATAAGGGAAAGGGGACAGGAGAAGTAGGAGAAGTAGGGCTTCTTTTCTCATTCTAAATAAATATTCATTTTATACCTAATTTTATATTTGCAATTCTGTATTCTTTCTCTTAATGATATCCCCAAAATGATAATAGTGAAGCCCCCCCAAAAAAATTTTCCATTTTCATCTCTGTCAATTACCTCTGTTTCACTCAATCCAATGACTACTTTAAGTCCTCTTTGCAACTGATATCCCGGCAGCATTGGACACATGTGGTCCCTTTCTCCTTTTTCAAATTGGCATATTCATTGGCTTCCACAATTCCACACTCCCCTGATTTTCTTCCAGCTGACTGGTCTGTCTTTCCCATTCTCTTTTGCTAGGTCACATGCTATTTTCTGTTTAGAGTCCTCTTCTTCTACCTCTTTTTCTTGATAATTCTTACACTCCACTCCTTCAAGTCTCAGCTTAATTTTTATACTTCCTTTCTCTGATCTTCTGATTAAGTGACTCATTCCCATAGCATCTTGTATTCTCCTTTCAGAACAATGGCCATAATCCCATTCATATTTTTATCTTTATCTGAATAGTGATCCACTTGGGCCATGACTTTAAAAAATGACCATGAGTTTAAAAAAATATGTCTATCTTGATTACGTCTATATCCCCAACGCCTGGTATATGTTGGGCCTTCAGTACCTACTAGTTGAATGAGTATTATATTTGTCATCTCAACCCCAGGGACCCCAAAAATTGCAGTTAAGGGAAACTCCATCTAACCAAATGGAAAGTGATCGCAGAAATGTGTCTCATACCACAATTAATACCTGGATATTTCTCCAGCCCTGCATAGCAGTCAGAGCCTCAGTCCTCAATAAATATTCAGCACCTTACAGATCCCTCATCAAAAGCATGTTATACATTCCTTTCTCACCTTCATGTTTCTATTTGCCCAATTAAATAATAAAGTTGCTTTCATTTTTTGCTGTGGGCTCTATTGCCCAAACTATTTTCTGGTCTCTAGGATGAAATGTCTAGAAATATGATATGTTTAAATGACATAAGAGTTTGTAAAGCACTTAGCACAGTGCTTGGCACCTAGTCTCTGTTAAATAAATGAAAGTTTAATGAAATATGAAACGCCTAGCACCTTTTTGTCAGGGGAAGGGTAAGGTGCAGGAAAAAAAAAAAACTTTTCAGATGAAGAGGAAAAATAAACTTGTGAATTGATAAAATATTTTAAGTCACTTTACTAATCTAAAAAATTTTTTGCAATGTTCTGAGGATAGTAAAAATATATTACATATAACTTCATTGGCATCAGCCATATTAGTTCACCTCTTGCATATCTCATCTTACTCCCCTCCTCTCTCCATTCTTACTACTACTGTCTGATTACTCCAGTTTCATAAAAAGCCTTCAAAGTCACCCCTTTGTTTCCATTCTTATTCTTCAATCCATTCTCCACACTTCTTCTAGAGTAGCCAACCTAAAATGTCCTGACCACAGTATTCCCTGTCCTTTCAACAGTGGCCCGGTATTTTATCATGGCCTATGGAGCCTTAATCACAATCTTTCTCTTCCTCCTCTGTGTCTATTGCACACTGACTTAACCTTCATCGTGGTATATACCAATTGGTACAATTTAATCCTTGTTGTCTGTTTCTGCTATATAGTAATCTCCTCCTTTAATTAATATATAATAGTAAATAATAATAGTAGAACAACAACTTTTATTTGTTTAACAGAATAGGTGCCAGGCACTGTGCTAAGTGCTTTACAAACTCTATCTCATATAATCTTCACTATAACATGATGACAATGTACTAGTATTGATATTCACTTAACAGATGATAAAACTGAGACCAAGAAAGGCTAATTTGTGTCCAAGGTCACACAAATAGAAAGTGGTACTTATGGATTCAAATCCAGATCCATGTATCTCCAAGGAGTGTATTCTTCCCAATACTTTAACATATTATTGTGTGCTAATTTACAAAAAAAAAAAAAAGTGGGCAAAGTTTTTAAAGAAATTATCCACACTATATCAAAAAAGAAAAAGTAGAAGTATATTCCACATCATTTGCAGCCTACTTAGAAGCAGCCTTTTATTGTTTTATTTAAAAGAAGGTAAAATATGCATTAGTTAATTAGTTAAAATTATCTAGGCAGAAAGAGAGAGACAGTATCTGTTAGCATTTGGGGAAGAAAAAATAAGACAAGAAAGCCTGCAAGTGACTAAGACCTAGCATTGTGTTCTTTCTTTCAGAAAAATAGCAAAGTTCTCTTCTTAGGAAGAGACAGAAGTATACTTTGCTCTCACAGATGTTATCTATACTACTTATCTCAAAACACAGGAATAATCTGAAAAGTGTAGATTGTATTACATTAAATTTTCATCCTCCATAGTTTTTTAAGAAATTAGTGTTAATGAGTAAGAATTAGGTGACACTTTTTGATGATATTGTGTTTTTTTCCCCTTTCTCAAGGGAGGGAAAAAAAGGGTTCCCCAAAATTTTATTGTTTTTTTTCTAGGCCTTCACCTCCTGCCTCTGGACTTCCTTAAACTTCTCATGTCACCTTAAACTAAATACATATCTCTAAAAATGTGCCTGTAGTCAGGGTTTGTTGATAGTCTTTTAATATGTTCTGTTTATAATCTAAATGCATCCTGCCAACTATCAAGTGCTCTTATTCCTCTTTACCCTATAGAATCATCAAGAAACTTAACCTTGATTCCATAGTATGACAGGTATTAACATGGTCAATTTTTTTCCTTTAGGCCCAAAAGAACCCTGAATCTGCCTCTTTGAAATACAGCTTCAACTTATTTTCACAAGAATATTCTGCTTTTAATTGCACCCCACACCCAAGCTAACTAGCCAACCCAATTAATGTCAATGAAGAATTTCAGGAGGATTTTTAGTGCCTTCTTATTAATCCCATTAGAAAACCTATTCAAAGTTGACAGTGAACCAATGACATTAACCCTATACAAATGAAATGACCATCTCAATCAGTGTATATCCATCAGCCTTGGTCCACAGCAAATCATAATTTCCAATGTCTTAATGAAAATATGTATGTTAATTGAGTTGACAAACAATTGAGTTCTCACTATGTGCCAGACACTGTGCAAAGGACTCAGAGACACAATCATGAAAGATGAAACAATCATAATCTTATTAAATGAACATCAATCTTATGCAGTAAAGTCAAAGATGTGCTAAGACAGAAGTTTGCACAAAAAGCAACAGGGAAAAAGAAGATGGTAAATTCAGAGCTTTAGGAAAATCTACCCAGAGAAGGAAAGACTGAAAGACTGAAAGGGCTGTATCTTGAAAACGAGTAGGTGTAAGCCAAGGTGGACTCCAATTAGAGCAGAAAAGAAAGTCCATACACCATTTAGTAGCAAGTGTGAGAGTTTGCAAAACACTTTCTCATGCATTGTTTAACTCCTCAAACACTCTTAAGAGGTAAGGATTCCCATAAAAGATGTCTGAGAAAGAAAAAATTTTAAGTTAAGATAGTGAAACTCAGAATTAGAGAGAATAAACAGTCTAGCTATTAATGAATGGCAGCCAGCCCTCAAACTCAGTATCAGTTTAAGTCTTAATAGCAGTGGTGGCTGAGGCTGAGTCTAACTGGCTCAAGAGAACCAGTTGTTACATATTCAGGAATATTGAAAACTTGGTGTTATACCCTGGGTAGCCTAAAATCAACTGTGGCAGGAATATTTACACCACAGAGATTGGTATATGCTACAAATCAGTCATGCCCCATTTTTTTTGTTTTGATTCATAGCCCATTTACAAGCATAGCACTGCATAGTTAGCAAACTGCCTCTATATAAAACCACAGAACTACATAGGACTGAACTAAAAAGCTTATCCAAACTTACTCTGTCTGATTTAGAAGTAATTTATTAGAAAGAAAAAATATCTGAGAGATTAGACTATTTTTAGAAAATAATAATTCTGACAAATGAATTTTATGATATACTAATAATTATGAAATCCCTTACTCATTATGTGTCTGATCTTTTTGAAGAATAAGAAGCTTAAGACATAGTCCTTACTCCAGTGTTTTCACAGACATGAATACTAACCAGCTGGCTCATTTATTTTTAGGACAGCCTTGTCATTTTTACAATTTCCAATTCACTTTGCTTTAATGCTAGCAGGTTATCTCATCATCGTTTATATGAGTTCACAAAAGTACCAACTGGGAGCTTTGGGATTATTTTTTTTTTTGAAACATATTTAAAGCAAGAAGGGATTTTATCCTAATCATCCAGTGCTCTACGTTAGAAATCTTCACACCCTGCATATTTGTAAAACTCCTGTTGATTCTAGTAGTACCCACCCAGACCCCTCCACATTTAGTGTGGCATTCTTCCTTTCCTACCTTTCTAAAAGTATTGTCTGCCTTAGTTGACCTAGTTCATAAGAAATTTTAACAAACCTTTAAATAAGTGAAACTCACCGAAACACAGATAAGTCAAACCAGGCCAATCTCTCAATTAAAGCATCTTGAAGGGAATGTGCAGTCATTTGGGGATCCGTACAATGTGCTACATTGTCAATTCACTTCTTCATTTTAAACAACCCCACCTCATACTAGCTTACTGTAGATCTCTTGAAAACTCCACAAATAGCATACTTGAAATATCAGGCATTTTTCTTTAAAACATCTGGGATTCTCTTCAAGTGCTGGTAACTGAGGTTTATGTGCTGGTGTGTCTATGTGGGTAAGAGATATTTACAGATATTGAATTTGCTTAAAAAAAAACATAATATTTGTGCTCTTGCTATAATCTTTGCAGGCTCATGGTGAAGATATTTTCTTTGAGCCTCTGTTAAAAACATTTCTATGATGCCACATATTTTAGGTTTAAGTCTTAAAAACACTTCTCAGAAATCAGATAATTATTCACATCTTTTGTTGCTATTGTGTTCATTTTCTTTAAAAATATCATCTAAGCTACCAGTAATCTATTTATTTCTAGAATTTACTTGGAACACACAACTTGGGAAGAGTTTACTATGAGCCCATTAAAGACCGGCATGGAAACATACTCATAGTCACCATCAGAGAGGTGGAGATGCTTTATTCCTTTTTTAATGGCAAATGGATGCAGATCTCAAAGCTTCAAAGCCAGAGGAAGTCTCTATCAACACCAGAGGAACCAACAGCCTTAGACATTTTACTGATAACTATCCAGGTACAAATTGTTTTGTTTTTCATTGTTCTGATATATTTGAAATCCCAAATACTATTATGCAGGCTCTAGTGAAATATACCAAAAAACATCTACAGATGCAGTGGTAGAGTAGAGAGATTCCAGAGATGGGCCATTCCTCATACTCCACACACAAGAAAGATGCCAAACTTATTTTTATTTATCCCTCTCCAGATCTGGAACTTGTCAAGTAATACACAGAATGATCGCTCTGAAAATGCCCTGACCAACTGAACCAATAAGAAACACTCAGACCAATGACTGAGTAGGGTATCTATCCACAATATAACCAAGACATCAAACCAATACCAGATTGGACTGTAAAAATAATACATGTAGATTGTGTGTTTGGATACATTTATATGTATATGATACTGAACAAAAACACTTTGATATATACTCACTCTTGCTTGTTCTGTACAATACTTTCTTAGAACAGACAGGCATTATTAAATCCATTTTAGGAATAAATAACCAGGATTCAAACAGGTTAAGTGACACGAGGGTATACACAGAGGTCAATTCAGTGAAGTTAATGATGCTTCTATGTCATTCAGCTCTTTACTTGCACAAGCCCTTTCAAGGCACTGATCAGCACCCTGGCAATTTTGCATTGATAATTTTGTTATCAGAAACTGTATTGGCTTCAGACCCTGCAAAACATGGAATGCATTCTTGGGCACACAACTAGAAAATGGCAGAACTGAGATTTCAACTCGGATCTTCTGATTGGAAGCTGGATTCTTTCTGCTCTGTCACAACCCATCTTGGGATAGGAGTTAGGATTTTAGTGAATGAGGGATGGAAGATGAAATAAAGCCTGAAATACTCATCTGAGTACTGAATAGGCACCAAAATTCAGAACCCAAGCACCTTGGATGCAGACTCTTGACCTGGATGGCAGCAGTGGGACACAAGCCCATATCTATTCGTAAGTGCATGCTCTGTCCCAGCGACCAATCTGCCTCAAGTGTTCTCATGTAAACATGGACATCAAACTGTTTCTCACTGTTTCTCTCCCCCACCCCTTAAACCCTGTGATGAGTGTGAGTTGTATAGAACTCTCCATCTAGGTAGAAAAACTGGCAGAAACAGCTACTCTAAGCCCCATGAAACAAATGGCATATATCCACCAGACATCCCATCTGGAGTAACAGGAAAGGAAGGGCTCAGTCACACATGAACAAGCTGAATCTGCACGTTGGCCCCAATAGCCACTCATGGTCACCTTCAACAGCTAATTTACTTTCTAACTTCCTTTCATTCCCAACTGAGGGGTGTCTGGTACAATAATCTCATCTGTTCATTACTTGCACTGGCCCAAAGCAGGACAAAAGTCCAACACAGCAAGGGTAAGCTAATTGGTCAAAGCCAATGCCTCTGGATTTGATTTTATGGAATGTGGGTTCATAGGAAATTGATAGAGAGTGTACGTTCATATGTGGAGGTGGTGGGGGCAGGGAACATAGACACATTCGTGGCTCCCCTCTTCACCTTTTATAAGCAGGTGCTAAAAGAAACATTTAAAAAAATCATAATAAATTGAGCTTTTACAGGGTGACTAATACACTAATCCCCTATAGGGATAAACTGGGGTCTGGGCTACCTTTGCTCCTAGAAACACAGCCCAGGCCCCAGCATGATATAATACCTGGTTTCTCCTAGACTTATTACATTAAAAATGTGTTACAGGTGCAGAAAAATTCCAATCTGGTGAAAGGTTGTTAGAGAAGGAGACCAAAAATAGAGGCAGGATCAGGTTTCCACACAGATCCAAGTGGAAAATTTACCCCCGCTGACTGGCGCATTCCTACTTGATGTCATTCCCACCCACCCCACTCTCCCTTTTCTTCCCCCCATTTTTTTCTCCCTCCCCACCTTCCCATACAGGTCCTATGCTGGAGAGGAAGTGGGGAATAAAAATCCTAGGGCTGGTATCCAATCAGTTATAGATTTAAGATTTAATTATGTCAGATTTAAATTGGCTACACCAGCTTAAAATGAGGATTGAGTTAGGTCTTGATGGTGGCCCAAAGCAGTCTGGGTAATTCCCACAATGACAGGCTACAGACCACTTGATTTTCTCAGGGCAGTGGAGTGATGACCATCAGGCAACCTGATTGGAAACCTAGGTTTTCTCCTGCTACCTCACAACTTTGGAATCAGGCTGACTGGGTATGACTCCTGACCCCACCCTTTCTAGTTATGTGACCAGAGCAAGTTACTTAACTTCTCACCTCTTGTATCTCCTCCTCCTCTAAAAGCTCTATTTCACAGGGTTCTAATGATGACTTAATGGGTTAATATGAAAAGCAGTAGAAGAGTAGCACAGTAAACATTCATGATTTTTTATTATTTCTTCACTCAGAAAAATCCAAGCAATACTATTTCTCCTCAGGACACATCCCATCCACCTCTTCTTCCCTGCTCTCCTGGGATACCTCTGGCACTAGCCCAGCCATCCCTTAGGACACTTCATTACTTCATCCACCTTTCATAATGATTAGGAAAGTCTGTATAAAAACTATATAATCAGGGCTGGGGCTGTGGCTCAGTGCTAGAGCACTTGCCTGCATGTGTGAGGCACTGGGTTCGATTCTCAGCATCACATATAAACAAACAAAATAAAGGGCCGTTGACAACTTAAAAAATATCTTTTAAAAACTATATGATCTACAATAGGGTTTTCAATAACAGGCCAAGACTCTAACAAAATCTCAGCCTGTAACTAATCTACTAATCCATAGGGCCCCAGGGAAGCTCCAATACCCAACTCCCTCAACATCCTGACCTCCTCAAACGCAGACCTCCACAACTGACCTCTCTCAAGTATCTATAAGAGAAAAATTGTTCTCATGCTTTCCTGCAAAAGAAAAGAGAGATATGGATCATTTAGAGTCCCTCTAAGCAACCTAATTGGCAATGATGTATATCCAATAAGAAGGCCCCTCTTGGGTGCTGGGTTATTCTCTTCAGGGGTTATTTCAGTAATTGAACACCTCATACGTGAAGTTTCTCCTGAAGATTAATCGCTCACATGTTAATTTTAACTTTGTAATACTTTGTCACATCTATATTATTTATTCTCATGAAAACTCAGTTGAGATTGAGTAATTCTATTGTCTAGTGCACAGATGAGGCCATGGATTTCAAGGAAATAGCTGGGCAAAGTCATATCAGCTGAAATGCAGCACTATGAGATACTAGGACCCACATCCCTGGTCCCCTTCCCATTCCACCACCTTGCTTTCTCTGCCTACTTTCTTTAAGATATGTCCAGGGAAATCATGGTGAGGCTGTCCTCTTTCTCCTCCCATTCCTATTTTCCTCTCCTCTTCTTGTCATCTGTAGGTACCCAATATCTTCTTACACTGCAGGTACCCAAGACCAACTACTTCTTCCACCCTTCTCTACTGTTTTCCTGCACTTTCCTATTTTTTCTATCCCCAAGCAGCAACTAACATAAGTATCAAAACCTACAGGAATCAGAAAGATTAATGAAAATGAGCTAATTTCTTAATGACTTAAGAAACAATTGAGTTCACACAAAAACTCATTCACCGATATTCATACAATCAGTATTCATAACAGCCAAAGGGTAGAAACGATCTGAAAATCCAAGAAAGCTGATGAGTGGGTACATAAATGTGGTGCAACCATATGGTGGAATATTATTTATCCATAAAAATGAATGAAGATCCATATTACAGAATGGATGAACCTTGAAAACATTATGCAAAGTGAAAGAAGACCAACACAAAATGCCACTTATTGTATGACGACTGCATTTAAATGTTTGCTATATCCATAATAAGCAAATTCATATTAGTGGTTCTACAAGCACAGAAGGAGAAATTGGAGAATGGTAATGAATGTGAGGCTTCTTTCTGGAATGATGAAAATGGCCTAGAATTAGACAGTGGTGGATAGTTATACAACCTTGTAAACATACTAAATACCACTGAATTGCATGCTTTAAGAGGATGGATTTTATGGTATATGACCTATAATGTTTAAAAAAGAAAGAAGTGAAAGTAATAGGGACTACATTAATCTGGAGAGTCCTTGTCCTATCTAAGGAGGCATTCCTATTCAGCCTCAGCTATTACAGTGTAAAAATGTAATCCCATTGATTAAGTATGCTCTGCTTTTTAAGAGAAGTTAGAAATCCAGAGTGTAGGGTGAAATCTCTTTAAAATTTAGGAAACAATTCAGAAAATTAAAATTCTTTGTGGTTTAAACAATCTTGGTCTTGCAAAGACTACCAGTCACGATTTTGTGACTTGTACTACCCTACACAATTCAGCTTCCACACCTCATCCAGCACAATAAAGGCCCTGCAGTTATCTTAAAAGCATCTATCTATTGTTCCCTTAAAAAGATCTCAGGATATCTGATCGATATGCCCTTCCCAGTTACTGCACCCACATAGCATATTTTCCCCCAGAGGCCCAGCCCCAGAACCTACCACCTCTGGGCCTTTCACTTCATATTGAATAAACAGTTTTTTCCAACATCAAGGAGGTGCCAGGCACTCTTCTAGGTGCTATATGAAAAACAAATGAATAAGTCAAGGTCCTTGCTCTCAAGGAGTTCAGTCAAGGGAGGGAGACAGACTTGTAAACAAATCAAGGTAATACAAGGCAGAATTAAACCAGAGCCCGATAGCAGTACAAACAGTGTACTATGGGAGCACACACAAAGCAGCTATTAATTCTGCCTGAAAATATCAGGGAAGGTATTGCAGAAGATGTGGCATTTGGCTGAGCCATGAAGGTAAGTTAAGTTTATCAGGTGGAGAAAAGACAGCAAGAGAAGGGAGTGAGGAGGAATTAAACTAAATAGAGGAAATAGTAAAGAAATGAGGCAGAAGTTGGAAGAGTGGATCTCACCCTCCCTTGGTTCCACATGGACCTTACAGTCTTCTTATGGCCTTTATGGTGGGTTAGAAAAATTGGCTTACATATTTCTCCCATACACTGAAATGTTAATTTCCATTTAAGATATGTCCAGGGAAATCATGGTGAGGCTGTCATCATGTCTTGTTCATCTTGGTGTCATTAATAACTTAGCATAATGCTTTACACATAGTGGGTGCTCAATAAAAGTTGGTAGGATAAGTGAATAAACTAACAAAAAAAGAGAGAGAAATTCAGAAATGTATGCAGACAGAAAAAGTAATCCATTATGGCTGAAGATAGGGGACACAAAAGGGCTGTAATGGAAGGTAGAGGCTAGAAATGCAGGTTAGAGGCTAAATCAGGTAATATATAGACCTACAGACATCCATTTTGATTTTACAGGGCCTTTCTAGTGTACTTAAGCTTATTTCTCTTCCCAAGCATTTTTCAGGTTGCAAAAGCATTCTGACCAATAAAGAACAAATGACTATGTAAAGGCAAGGGAATTCATAGTAGATGCTCAGTAATAGTCCTTTTAAAATTGAATGAAATAGTGAATTACTCCATCCCAGAATGGTGTTGGTTTTTATAAAACCACAGTATGTTCCTAACTCACAATCTATTTGTGGTCACTTCTGACTCGAATGTTTTTCTCTCATACCCTGACCCATCCTATCTTTGTACTCTTGGGTTTGAGTCTTTACAAGCACATTTTCTTATTAAGTTTTTTGGGTCATTCATAGCTTTATTACTATTTTCCAGAAAATCAAAACCACACTAAATTTGGGACCCACAAATTTGACACACACATTCTTGATTTTCTTTGTCTGGAATGTCAATAAATAAACTGAACATATTGGTTCTCTGGACCAATCCCTCCTGAGCCATCACTCAATCTATATACTATTCCAATACCATCTTCATTAACGACAAATCTTCAACCCAGATATTCAGCTTATTAAAGTAATGTGGTCATGATTCTGCTTGTTTTCAGGTTATCTTAATGACACAGATTACACTGGAGACTTCTCCTTGGTCCGTGAATCCTATTTTATAGCTGTTAGAAATTAAAGTTGTCTGTGTGATTGCTCTTCACAAACCCATGGTGACTCCTCTTTAGTGCCTTGGGATTTCCTGTGTGACTGCAAATTGAATGTTTGATTGATGGTTCTTTCTCATTTTTCCTAAAGATCAATATGACGAAGGTCTTTAATGACTAGGGTCATCCTGTGTTTTTCCCCTTTCTGTTGCAAAGCCAGGCATATTTGTCCTTTGGTAGTCTTGAGGGACTTTTCTAGTTCTCCATGACTTCTCAAAAATAATGACCCATGAGTCCATAGCCACATCTGCTTGTTCAGTAAGTGCCCCTAGGTTGCATATAATCAAATTCTTCTGATCAAAGAAGAATTGGCAATGAATGTATATCCTTCTATTTTTTATTCCCACATTAACCATTTCTCTCTCCTTAATTAGTTGTTTATTTCCTAAAACACTTACCTTGACCAAACTTAGAGTCAACTGCTTACCTAAGATCTATTTTTAAGAAACACAATTGAAAATATTAGTAAGTTTGGCCTTTTTCATCCTGTAGTAATAACAATTCATCCTTCTTGATGAGAAGATTGCTTTTTTGTACATATTATATTGTCTTCCCAATTATGACCATTTTTATTTTGTCCTTTTCTACAATTACCATGTTGTTGTCTCTACTATAAAATTGACTTCAGTATGTTATAATCACCAATTTATTCATCTTTCTCTACCTCCTCAAGAGTAGGTATCACATCACCTTTACCTGAAACCCCAATATTTCCCATAGTGACCAATAAACCATGGGAATTCAAGCTTCATAAAGATGGGACAGACAATACAATACACAACAGAGTATGTTAGATTCTGCAAATAGTTAATCCTACAGATGAGAACTTGTTCCTTCAGAGCACAGAGGAAGCCTCATACCTTTCTCTTCCATATATACAAGTTTGTTTATTTCTTGCCTCATCTACATTTAGTAGAGAGTTGATTCCCTTTATTTTGCTCCTATTTATTCATCTTTATTAATACTTTTTGAACAAATCTTAATTGTAAACATGTATGAGGTACATAATGATGTTTGATATATGTGGGCAATGTAGAATGATTAAATCAAGCTAATTCGAATACCTATCACCTCATTGGCTTATCTTGTGTGTGGGGTGTGTGTGTGTATGTGTGTTGATACTTTTGAAACTTTATCTTAGTTATTTTACCCTTAGTGAAAACCAAGCTTATAGGAAACCTTCCCTTAAGATCATTACCCGATTCATCACTCCTAAATTTCTCACACCCTTCTACCCAAAGGTTTAAAAAGCCTTATCTACTAATATGGGCAGAAGGGAAAGAGAACTGTGTTTTCTAATTATTCACTATGAGTCCCTGCAGTTGTTCAGAGAGGCAAAAGTCATAACCCAAATAGTTCACTAGGTACTGATCACAAATAGAACAAGAATTGATTCAAATATCTCTCTGTACTTAGTTGGCACTTTCTACTCTATCAACAACTTCATTCAGTCTCTGCAGCCTGTAGAATATTTTGATGTGACAATACAATGTAAATCCAATGCCAATCCATTGCAAAGCAAAATTTTAAATATTGCAAAAGATGCAGAATTTTGTGAAGCTGATGAAGATAATGTGGAGACCTAATCAGCATGCAAAGCCACTGACAATTGAGACTCTAATATTAGTAGACTAGTTATGATTGACAAGCACAAAATGAACAAGAACTGTATAAGAACATTTTAAGATTCCAGGAAAAATGTCTTAAGATTCCAGGAAAGAAATTCTGAAGCCCTCAAATATTTTTGCAAAAATTATCCTCTTCATGATGACTTTGTGAAAATCAAGTATGAGGAGTACCATTTCAGTTATAATTTAGTCTAAAGAATTAACTCCCCCCCAAAAAAAAGGGAATAAATGCTTAACTCATTCTCAGAATTAAGCTATACCTACAACTTAAATGTTAATAACATAAAATTATTATCTCATGATTACTTTAAGATACAGAATCAATCAACCTTTTATATATACTTGCTATAAAATTTTGACTCTGATTTAAATGGTTTCATTTATAATGGACTTTTCCATTTTAATTTTCCTGAAAGCATGAAGCTTCCTGTAACTGCTTTGTCAGCTTTTATACTGGCAAATGTCTGTTTCTCCCAGCTAAACAGTCAGTCCTCCAAGGATAGAAATTATGAATTCTCTTTCTTTATTATTTACCTCCACCACTAACAGCTTATTCCATCACAACCCACACACCTAGCCTTGGCAAAGAAATGTGAGGAAAACAAGCAGGCAGACTTATGTTAAAGGTGGATTACCTAACTTGGAGGAGAACTCTCCTGAAGGTGAGACTAGCTGCAACACCAACACTCCCCCTATATTCACGGTTGTTATGGTTCCTCACCTAATCATTCTCAGTGCCTATCATTCATTACAGGCCCACCTTAAAGAGAATAAGGTTTGGAGAGTGTCTATCAAAGTGATTTCTTATTTTGTCTTATTTCCCTCTACAGGATATTCTCTCCTATCACAAAAGGAGTCATCAGCGTCTCTCTCCTGGATTATATCTAGGTTACCTAAAACTATGTAGCTCTGTGGATCAGATCAAAGTTCTTGTAACTCAAAAGTTACCCAACATCCTCTGCCATGTGAAGATCCGTGAAAACAATAACATTTCCAAGTAAGTGGTCAGAGTCAGAATTTTCCTTGTGATGAAACAATGGCTCAAGTGACCAATTTGATGTGCCCAAAGGAAAATGAAACATTACTTGCCAGCACAGTTTCTATGGTGAGATGTCCCACAGCACACTGGAGCAATGCCACAGCTGAGATTTAACACTAGGATAAGGAGGGCTTCCATTGTGGGTTGGTGGAATGAGTGAGCCTATTAAAAGGGGGTACTGTCTTTCCATGATTCCCTCTGCATTATTAATGGTACAAGCACTGATGCTCAACTGATTAATGAACATATGACCTTTTCTTCCCAAATTGCTATTTATAATACCTTTTCTTCACAATCTAAAAGTCATGTTTGTTTTGTTCATTGTTTTTAAAATTCTCTATGGGAATGGAATCTGATAAAGCTACTGAATCTTAAAGGATCCCCCAACCTCACCTCAAACCTTCATTCTCCTTACTCCTAACCCCCTGGCCTGAGAATCTTATATGTTCCCTATGCCTCTTTTGATTCTCTAGGGAAGAAAAGAAGTAACAAGGTCTGAGCCTCTGTTGGAGATTTGCTGTATGGTTTGGCATTTGGTGAATTACCCTGTTAGCTTTGGGAAAATCTTGGTAATCTGGCTCAACTTTACAACTAACCCTAATAGCAGGCCTCTGAAACTCTACTATAATGTACTGAATTGTGTTCAACATTTAAAAAATGAAAAAGAAGAAATATATAATGAGATATTATATATTTGCTTCAAAAAGTATAAACTAGATCCTCAAATTCTATTTACACCTATGGATTTGCTTACAACCAAAGTAGACTCTAATTTGGTCATTTAAAATATGGCCCTCAAAATTGAAAGACTTCCTTTATTAACTATTATATCTCTCAGGGTTCAATACATAACTATTATTTGATGATAGTGGAATAAATGATGATGATGATGATAATCTCTTAAAGAACTCACTGACCACCATATTCTCTCCTTTCACTGATCAACTACACCTGGACTTTAAGTCTGCCCTCTGGTGGTCATTTCAACAATCAACATTAGTTATCTTCTGAGTCTTCCCAATAGGTTACATGGCTCATATTTGTGTTGAGTTGGCAGTGGTTGTTTTCATCCATTTCTAGATCATGTCCTAATAGCTTATACTCTATTAGTGGTTACATGAACTAATTTCCTCTGCCAATTATCCAAAGTTCATTTTTACAAGATTCCAATAACCTTTGCTCTGCCAGGGCCATCTCCCTCATCCTCATAATCTAAAACAATTAGTTAGTGGTAGGTATTTCATGGTATCCATACTGGTAGACTATTTCCTAATTTGATTATGAGACCCTATTTTAGCAATGTGGTCCTTTAGACTTTTTACACTTCAGCTAGCCATAAACCTCTCGCTTAGTTCAATATCAGTGATGGGAAAGAAGAAATAGTTACCAAGCCAGTTTTTAAGATAATTCTTTGTAAAGTCAAAAGTATACAATAGGGCTTAATTTTTATTCTTTTTTCTCTTATTGGGACAAAGAATAAGTGTTCTAGTCTTTTCCAGTATGAGACCTGATATGAAACATATCTTTAAAAAAAAAAAAAACTATTCTGAAGGGATAGCTTAAAAAAGAGAATGGTGTTTGTTTGTTTGCTTTTGATGAAAAAGCTCATGACACATTCAATTTGACTCAGATTGGAGACAAGGCTGGTATGACCCTTTGGGGAAGTCCCTGGTTTTCACAGGATGGGAACATGTGTCAGCGCCTCCTCTCATTCTGTCCCCAAAGAGGGCTCTCCTTTCCTCTCTAGCCTGTTCCTGAGAGCACACTGCTGCTCCCTGAAGAGTTCCAAGGAGAAACCTGGCCAACTGAATGTGTTTCAAGACTTGTGCTAAAATACCTGTGGAAACAGTGTTACCCAAGAGGCATTTACCTTGATCTTTTCAAGTTCTTTTTGAAGAGCAGCCTTTGAGGGACAAACCAGATGTGCTTTCCTCCCACCACCATTCTTTTTCCTTCAGTTCTAAATGACATTTGGAAAAGTTCATCAGGAAGGACTACAGAGCATGCAGAATGAAGACATAGATGACTGTTTTGAGAGGAGGATGGAAGCAGTGATGTGTGTCCCTTACTTCCTTGTATTGAAATTGTCTGGTGTTTCTGTTTGTGATTTTCTTCAAGCTTTGGAAGAAGAAAGAAATAAAAATAGGCCCCACCATTACAACAGGACAAGGTTGAAATGTGCCATGTGGTTTGCTGCCTGAGTTGGACAAGATTCCAGTGGTTACCCAACTATGGAATTAACCAGCAGATGCCCCTGTGGTAAAATGTAGGCTCTTAGAACTTATGGAGGACCCACAGGGAAAGAAAAATAGGACAGTCAGGAAATTATTACAAAATATTTGAAAGCTTCAATCTCAAAACCTAGACATTTGGAAAATGTACACAAATTAGACCTGCATTCTGAGGCATATGTGGCTTGATAGGTGAACAAAAGCTTAAATTAGAAAAAGCTTATTTTAAACTCCATTCAGGTGGCAAAAGGTTCGAATTTTATGAATTTTGTTAAGTTTTAACCACCAAAAATTGCTTGTCCAGGTTCTGGACATATATGCTAAAGAAGTTCTGAGTTGTATTCTGAACTTTTGTTATATTTCTAATTTTAACTTGACTCAACATACAGAGAGGAGTGGGAATGGATCCAAAAGCTTTCTGGCTCTGAATCTATGGAAAGTGTGGATCATACTTCTGACTGCCCCATGCAATTGTTCTTCTACGAGCTCCAGATGGCAGTGAAAGCTCTCCTTAAGCAGATCAATATACCTCTACACCAGGTACTAGACTTTACCATTTTTATCTTCTTTTTATGGTTCATGGAAACTACATTGTAGCATAAAACTTACTCAAGAGGGATATATATATGCATATATATACACACACATATATATTTACTTTCTTTTATTTAAATACCACTTTGCATGTACGTGCACACTTTGAATTTAATGCTTACAAGCACACACAAACTATACTTGTGCTCTTTTTCCCTATTATCAGTCTCTTCCAAGTTTTCCAGATCCCACTGTACTGCCATCTAATCTACCTTGAAAGTCACCATGGCTCAATATCAGAATAGCATAAAGCAATGAGAATATATACATATATGCATGTGTAAACAAACAAGGGTGCAGCTAAATATACAAATGATTTATCTAAGAACAGAAGGATAATAGTATAATCTACAGTAGTGGCCCAACTACATCATTCTATCTACCCATTGAGAAGTTACTGTCAAAATTATTGTCTTATATAAATTAAAACATGAAATCTAACCTCCACAAATAAGTCATTTCAAAAAAATTTAAGAGAATATTAAAAGTTTATTAGGCTCTGTCTATCAATTTGATAGGATGTAGCACTAGGTTGAATTTGTTTCTTTTAGATATATGTTCATCATTTCTGCCCCTTTCCCAAAATCAATCCATCTCTCTCTCTCTCTCTCTCTCTCTCTCTCACACACACACACACACACACACACACACTTAGCCTATTTAGGAAAACCCTTACAGGAGTATCTGGCTCTCTTTTAATAAAAGAGAACTATGAGGTGGCCTCTGACCCATGGAGGCAGGGAGAAATTAAAGATTGCAGGAGTGTGCTTCCACTGGGGTACTGCTCTGATTTTAAGTCAATACTGCATGGCCAGTCTAAACCAGCCCAAACTAATGAATACTAATTTGCTAAATTGCAAGAGATGCCAGAAGTACACTATGGAAACAACTAGATTATTCCAGAGGTGGCCATGTGCTCATGAGGAAGGGGGAAAAAACAGCTCTACTTGTGACAGTCGATACTATTAAATGGTTTCTTGGACTTAACAGGTTTGAAGCAGCTCAAATTTCATTGGTGACTCTTGGGCTACATATACATGTTGGGAGAAAGCTGCCCAACTGCCTAACAGTATATACAACATTTTTTTTTTTTTTGATACTTGTAAAATTTTCTCAGTCCTTGGCCAGAAACTACATTTTTCCCCTTTAACCAACTTAAATTGAAACTAGTGGATTTTTAATTCAATCCATTTTTGTTACTTCATGTAATTATATTCATCATTTTGAAAAGCCCACAGAATGCAATCATTTTCTGCTTTTATAAGAAGCATAAATGTTGTTTTCAGAGTTTATGTGGAACATTATTGCCTTAAATCTTGATTTTATATAGCATTATTAAATGGGCTGAACCCTAATATTTATGTTGTATAAAAATTCCAAGCTTGAAGTCGTGTAATTTTGTTAGATGTTTTATGCCAGTTTGGTGTTGTTTATGTAAGTGCCATGTTGTAACTCTCCTATTTTTCCTCCGCGCGTGTCCCTCTGCAGGCAAGGAACTTCCGCCTCTACACACAGGAGGTGTTGGAATTGGGTCACAATGTGTCCTTTCTTCTCCTGCTCCCTGCTTCAGACGACGTCTGTACAGCCCCAGGACAGAATAATCCTTACACCCCACACTCAGGGTTTCTTAACCTCCCTCTTCAGATGTTTGAACTTGGTATAGTAGCTTGTTTCACCTAGAAATATTAACCCAGCCTCCTTATAATAAAATCACAAAGTTATATCTGTTCCCCCTTGTCCCAGTGGAGGGTCAATAAATCACATGATGGCTTTGGCAACAACCCTTCCTAGAACTGTGTACAAGTCTGAGAAAAAGCAAAGCTCCAAGACTATGTGCCTGAGCAATAATTATTGAAACATAGCTAAGGCCCAATGGAGAGGAAGGAATTCTAAACAGAAAGTTCAGTTATCAGGCTGTGCTTATTGCCTTTCCTTTGCTTTCTTAAAATATAAATATAAGAACGATGTTTTTATGAAAAGTACTGCCCCTTCTCTCCCCTTCCCCACCTCCAACTGGGAAAAAATAATAATGAAATTAAAATGTAGAGTTTGTATCACTTGGGAGGGGGAAAAAGGTCCATAAATATAAGTCATAAATAGACTCTAATATTAAATAGACTAAATTTCTGACAGACCATTAATAAATGCACCGAGTCTCTCAGGATGCAATGTTGTGACTTTTTATAAGGGGTTCTGAGTAAGGTGGAAGATCTTGTCCTGACTTTCAAAAATGAACAGCTTGGGCTTCAGTTTCTCCATCTTTGCAGAGACCCCTGCTGCCTACTGAGAATGTGAATAGGAAGGCTTTGTCTCCCTTTCCGTGCTTCATCTTGTAACAGGCCAATAAGAGGCAATTAGTAAGGTCTCTGTCAATTCAAATGAATTATACAGTTTGTGGGAGGCTGACTGGGTGGATGGATGGAATGGAGGCAGACCCTCTTTGAATTGCTCCCTAGCCACCAGATCTAGAAGCAGACAAGGAAACTGCCTGATGTCTTATTTTGAGACCTGGGCATTTGCATCTGAATTTATCTTTTCAGGATATTGTTTAAACTGCTCAGTTCCTATTATTCCAGGCAATTCAGATGCTAAAAGGTGATGAACAGCAACTGTTATTCTCCAGAGGAGGTAAAGTTCTTAAGATAAGTTTGAATCAGACTTGCAGACTGGAACTTGAGAGTTTTGGGTCACCTGCTGTATGACACTGGCAATCCCTTAACCTTTCTGTGCCTTTTCTGGGTTACACAATTAATACTATTAACCATACCACTCCCTAAAAGCCTGGATGTAAATGTGACCATTTAATGAGTTCCCCAGCCAAAGGACATTATTAATCCATGTTATAACAGTATTGTTATTATGAAATATAGTTTGAGGCAAAGTATCTCACATGACCCAATGGCAATAGAAATAAATATTGGGTGCCTACTATAAGGATTTAGAAATCAGTAAGACAAAGGTTCTGCTCTTTTGATAAAAATTCAGAAAGAGGACAAGTGGTCCACTTTGCCTAGATCAGAAAAAAAAAAATATGAGGAAACAGAGGAATAAAAAGCTCTACAAATAAAGTAAGGCCAAATTGACTCTTGAAAACCAGCCTGAAGAATCTGTTTAAGGTGGACCAGAAGCAAGGTTCAAAAAATTCAGAGATTATTATAATAGTTCAGGGTTAGGGTAGGAATCAAAAAGAAAAAAAGGAAATGAAAGGAAATAAAAAGGAAACAAATACAAATATGAGAAATATTAGGAGTAATTAATAAGAGTGGGCAATTGTTTAAATGAGGTAAGGAGAAGTCTGAGGAATGCCCTGGTGGTTTTCAGTCCCAATGACTACAAATATATCGCTGCCTCTACTAGAAGTATGAAAGTCAGGGAGAAAAACAATTTGGGGAAAAAAGTGATTTTCAGCTTTGAATATGTTGAGTCTCAAGGTGCTAAGTACACATGTCCCATTGGCAATAGAAATTCTGGAAAGAAAAATTGTTACTAAAACAGAAATTTGGCCAGTGTCTACTAAAAACAGCTAAAGCCATAAAAGTAAATGATTTCTGTAAGATAAGTAATTGACCGAGAACTAAGGAAAATACTTCATTAGAGAGCTAACCAATATTTCATTCTGTGTAAAACAATCATTGTTTTTCCATAATTACAGGTCAAACTACTTGAAATTCATTTTCCCATGTTTTAATGGCCTTGACGGAATAATCAGTGATTTGGTATCAATCAAAATAGTACATGACTCCTAAGGCCCTGGAGGGCCCAGACATGTGAGGGTCTCTCTTCTTTTCTGTGAGGCTCACACATTCCTCTTGGGCAACCACACTGTGTTCTACTGATTTCTACTCTACAATCTGGAGAAATGTACTAGTATCCATTTTCTCTCTCCATTCTTTTGTTTATGCATTCATTGACAAATATTATTGAGTAGGAGACTGAGGCAGGAGGATTGCAAGTTTGAGGCCAACCTGGGCAACTTAGCAAAACCCTATCTCAAAATAAAATGGAAAGGTCCGAGGACATATCTCAATGGTAGTGCACTTGCCTAGCAAGGTCCTGGGTTCAACCCCCAGTACCGGGAAGACCTTAGAGTGAGAGTATGCTTGGCTAAGAGATAAATGCACCTAGCATGTAGGTAAAAACAACAAAGATAGGAGATAAGATCAGAGAATCAATGGGGACCAGGATCATGCAGGCCCCATAGGCCATGATGAGGAATTTACATGTTATTTTAAATATATTGGGAATCCAATGGAGAATCAGGAGCAGTAGGGTAACATAAGTTCTCCTGCAAAATCCAGTAGAACTTCCTCACCACCAACAACAACAACAACAACAAAAAAATGCTTAACTTTGCTTACCTTAGCTTAACCCAACAGTCTCCAAATTCATTCAACCAAGACTGGAATCTTTTTTGCCACAGTACCTATTAAAAGTATACTGAACTCATATTTGGGATATGATGCCTTAGAACAGTGCTTCTCAAATTTTATTTGCATAAGAACTACCTGGATAGCTTGTTAAAATACAGATTCCTGAAGCCCAACCCCAGTGATGCTGAATCAGTACATCTGTGAAGAAGCTAGGAAATGTACATTTCCAATAAGCTCTCTGGTGATACTAAATCCACAAATCCATTGACCATACTTAAAACAGTACTGCCAAACACACAGAGATGAACACAGAACTAGAGATGTGGTTAGTATTATAATACAGTAGAATTCAACTGTGTCTGCCTCCTTGATCTGCCTTACCTCCATATTGCTAAAAGCAATATAAGATCGGAAACTATCCTTCATCTATGAAAAGACAGAGATCAAAGCCCAGGTCTCACAGTTCCCGGCTTTAAGATGTTTCTTCCTAGAGTAAGACTTTCTTACTCTCTTTATCATCCCTTGTTGCCATATTATGGGTGATCCAACTGATCATTTAGGACCATGTAAATTTCCAGAAAAGACCTCTTAGTTGGGCTTGGTTCCACTGGCATATGCAATTCTATTAAACTTTTTTTAGGAACCTGCAAAAAGTGTTGCCAATACGTGATGATTAATACACTCTTTAGTACAATATTTATTGCATTCCACTAGTAACAATTTTAAAATATTACTGGGTCTCAGTAAGAATCATGACAAACTCTAACCTATCCCCACGCAATAAGAACTTTCCAAGAGGCAAATTATTAAAGCTACTTCCTCCAGTAAGCATCAGCCCACTGAGAAATTAATAACATCTTATATAGGAACTTTTAAGGACGGGCTATAGTTCATCTAACCCCTCTAAGAAATATGCTAAGCATTTTTTATTTGCTTTTTGTTAGAAGGGACTTCTATTCTCCATAAATAGTTTTATAATAAAACTGATACACTAAGCATTTCTGAGAAAGGAAAGAATGTTTTCAGAAATCCAGTCAGAACTCAGAAAAACTTTAATAACAACATGGGAATTCTAATGAAATTTGAAAAGGTGTGAATTATGGGAATATGTAAATTATAATAGAACAAATAATTGCACTATATTTCAGTTTGACTTGTATAAGTCATCCCCAGCCCCATGAAAGGATTTGAGATTTGGCAAACTGACCATGTTTCTGCCAGTGGCCTAAGTGAATCATAAATAACATTCTAACCAGCTATGTACCTATTCCAGCATTAAACAGATCTAGCAAGGACAAAGTGACAAAGGAGCTTAGCCCTCTGTCTCCTGGAGTAAAGACCAATGGGGCAAACACACAGGATACTCCTTCAGAGGATTATCTGTGTTTTTGAGAGAGAGATGGACCTATAGGAGGAGCATCTTATAAGATCTGGACAAGCAGGGTTCAGCTGAGGCAAAGTGGTACAATTTCACCAAAGACCCACTCCCTTTTCCACAGCTTCAGGGATGACACTTCATCTTCTCTGGGGTAGGAACAGGCAAGGATCCCTCTACAGGAATAAAACATGTGCCGGGGGGCCCATAAGCATCACTGTTTACACTATTCCCAAGATAAAAGGAAAATGAAGTATCATGAACCATTAGAAAATCCATCCAGTGATGTAGCCTCTTGAGGATTTGCCTAGCCTGAATACAGGAGGTCACCCTGCCCTGACCCTGTGGGCAGTCACAATTAACAGTAGGCTTGTGATGAGGAAAGCTGATTTTTATATATTCCTTTGGCTCTATGATTCATACTAACTGGACTAGAAAGACAAAAACTGGAGAATTTTTTAAAAATAGCCCTGGTATACATTTCATAGTTCTGTGCTTGGCTATTGACTATATCCTTTATTCAACAAACATTTACTGAGATTCCACAGTATGCCAGATACTGTGCTGGGGCTGGACATACAGATACTAAACAGGCACAGTGTGCCCACCAGAAACTCAGAATCTAGTAGGGAATGCAGGCAACTATGCCAATAGTCTTAAAACAATGAAAGCACTGCTATGAGATGTGGGCTACTGAATTTCGAGGAAAGATACTTATTCATTCCTTACAGAGATAATACTTTAGCTGGATTTTGAAGAAAAATAAAAATTCCGAAAGTGAAATAAAGGCAGAACAGAAAAGGAAAATTATTTTAGGCAGAGAGGCCAGCATGCACAAAGGATTGGAAGGCTGGAAAGTTCTGTCCAATTAGATACATTCTTAGTAGCTCAATGTGAAGGATGCTTATGGCATCTGAGGAAGCCAAAAGTTAAAAAAGGGCAAAATCACAAAAAGCTACTCCTATATCATCCTAAGGAGGTGAGACTTTATATCCTGCAGGCAAAGGGGATTGATTAAAAAAAAAAAAAAAAACACTTGAGAAAGGGACAACATGGTCTCAATGGATTTTAGTAGTTCTGTGAAGGATAGATTGTAGGAAAGTAAGGGAAAAAAAGGTCTGAGACCAGAGATTGATAATTAGAAAGACTGTCTCACTGGTTCAAGTAGGCAATAAGAACCTGAACCAAGGCAGCCACAGTGGAGGTAAAGAGAATAAAGCAGGAGAGCAAGAGGAATTTAGGAATTAAAACTGATGAGACTTTGTGATTGATTTGATGTGGTTGAAGAGCAAGATGGAGGAGCCAGAAAGTCTGAATAGGGTGCTGAGATGGATAATGTTGACATCTACCCAAACAGGAAAAATATGAAGGGAGGAACAGGTTTGGGGGAGGGGACAGATGATGAGTTCAGTTTGACAAATGATGAGTTTTGAGGTGCCTGTGGGATATCCAGGCAATGAGCCTAATAGAATCCAGGCCATGGGCTTGCAAGAAATGGCATAGTCTCAACCTTCATTCCTAATGCCCATTATTCATAATTTAGGAGACCGTTCCTATATTCCAACTGCCAACTCATTCACTACTAGGAATCTAGAGGGGAACCTTCTGCCCAGGTTCTTTCTGAAACTTTGGCAAAGAATCATGGCACTTAAATGGACTCTTGGATATTATCTCATGATTCCTTTACCTCCAAACCCACCCAGACTGATAAGGAGCTCAGCAAGTTAGAGAACCTTAGGGAAAATATTCTAATCTCAGTCCTGTTCTAATATTCTAGTCAATAAATGCTTCATTCCCCTTCCCAGGGCGGGGGAGGGGTTGGGACAGTGGGTGGGAACAAACATGTATTTTGTAAATGGTATGCGTTATATGCTCTGTTGGGTACCTGATATACATTGTATTATTTAATCCCAGGTAGGCATTGTAATCCCTGTTTTAGGGATAATACTAAGACTCCTAGAGGTTATCTGTACACCACACAGGTAGTGAGTGGCAGAACTATGATTCAAACCCAGGCCTGTGCGATAGCTAAGCCTATAAACTTTCCACTGTACTCTACTGCTAGTGTTCGTGCCAACTGTATTTCAGGCTGTCACTATCTTTTACAGGAAAAAGAGAGAGAGAGAAAGAAAGAGATAGAGAGACACAACACCACATAAAATTAGTCTTAGTTTGTAAGTTACTAACAAATCATGTGGTCCAGATAATGACATTATTGTAGCCTTATACCATCTTGTCTTTAAAATGAATGTGATTCACATTTTTTAAAAATTAGAAGCTTCCAATCTATCCTTCCCTCCTCAGTGATGGCTACCAAATGTATCATTGCTAGACCACAAAAGACTATGTTAAAGTAACATTTGTTAAAATGACATTAAAGGCTCTGGATGAAAACCACTAGAGCGGGAAATGGAAGCGCTACAGTTGCTCATAACTCACTTGTGGTGCGTGGCATGGATGGTGTGGGTGCTGTGAGGCCACCCACTGATCTATGGCTCCTACTGCAAAGACACAACAAGGGAAAGCTGTGAACACCCTGACTTTTAAGATTCAGTTGGGACTGATAGTGTTTCTTTTAAAGAAATTATTCAGTGTATCTCCATAGTCAACTTTACCAGTCATATTTTATAGAGGGAAAAAAGTCGATTTTTTTTTTTTTACAACTCGGTTTGGAAAAGCAGGCTGTGAGACACTTCCCTCTCTCCACTCTCCAGCCAAAAGAGGACATCTGTCAAGTGCTAACAGGATATAATCCCTCCTTGAAAGGCATAAAGACACATTCAGAGAACTACAGGGGTCAAGAGTAAGCTACCAAGTAATGGTGACTCCTTCCTGCAGAGCTGCCAGTAAATATCAGAGACCCGAAGTACCTTTCAAAACATGAAAATCCAGCACACAGTGAGAGAAGTGAGAACAGAGGGAAAGAAGAGCCTTCAGGGACAGGGTCTGCCCTCTTCAGATCAGCTCATGCATTTATTTTATTCATTTGGTCAATAAATATTAGCTGAGAAGCTACAATGTTCCATGTTTTGAGGAAATAAAAAGTAATAGTAGACATGCTTCCTGCCCTCAAAAAAATCAGTCTAATACCAAAATAGTCAGCTATCCACACAGTTACAGTGTAGCAGGATATGCCATCATATATTTAGAAATAAGTGCTCTAGAAGCACAAAAGAGGGAGAAACTGGTTCTGCAGGGAAAGGAAGAGATGTCAGTGAAAACTTCACTGAGAAGACACATCAGAAGAAACATCAGGATCAGAAGGTAAACATGGGTAGCTGAGGATGAGGAAAAGCATGTTAAAAGCATGAGAGTATAAAAGGAGTGTAGTATGTTCACCAAAGTAGTAGTTTCACCAAAGGTTAAGGTTGATGCAGGGCTAAGGGTTGAAGGTGGTCACAGAATGAAAAATATAAGTGAAGTTATATTCAAATCCTCCACCACAAGGAGCTTCCTTATGGGAAACTTCCTTATGTTTGGATTTTATACTGAAGTCAAGAGCGTTCTCTATAGAGGTCTTTTAAGTGAAGAAACTGCTTGAGAATTCTATCATTTGAGAAAAGTGAAATAATTTGTCATTTACTGAAAGGGTATATAAAATCAGCTTCTCTTTGTGTCAGGCAAGGAAGTGCTAAAGAGAATAGAAAATATGGGAAGAAAGGATCTGACACCAGAGAGAAAAAATCAACCCCAGGTTGTAGACTACCTGGATTGAGAAATATCTCCTTGAAATGGGCACAGCTGGAGTAAGAATGAACCACTGAAGCCCTCACCCTATTCTTCTCTTCCACTTCTATGAGGAAAGACTTAGCAGGCTAACTTTCCACCCATCTAAGAGGAAATCACACAAGGAAGCAGGCAGTGGTAAGATGAGAATTGTGAGGTACACAGAAATCTCTCAATATGCAGAGAAGTAGGGCTTCCTCCCATTGCATAGAGATGACCAACGCCATATTCTGAGGCACTGTGGTTTAGCTTCCCTAAATGGCCAGATGTAGGTCTTGAGAATCAATAGAAAATGGTGCAAGAGCATTAATTATATGTTCTTTCTAGAATTTCTCACCCAAGAAGCCATAATAAAAATGTTCTAACAGACAGTTGAGTTAGAATGACCCTCTTTCTGAAGCATGGAACACACTGGTTAAGTCTGAGGTACACAAAATAATGAGGTTCAACAGTGAGCCAGAAAGAGACTGGAACTACACCAATCTGAATCAGGATGATTTTCTTATGCAATTGGAATCTGAAGTTATAGTTTATGATCAGAGTTTATCAGAGAAGACCAGACAATCTAACCATCTCAGGCTGTCTGCACTGGGCTCAGTCCTACATTGCTGGCCCTCTTGAACAGAAATAAATGAAGGAGATGAAGGTTGGACTCTTTCCTGTGGTCTGCGTCTGTCCCATTATTTTGAGAGGAGAAGGTCAAGTCTACTGAAGACAAAAATGGTCTGTCCAGGCGTCAGTTCCCACTATCCTTCCAGAGGAACTAAGGAAGGGAAAGATAGGAGGACCAAAGCCCATAATGACTGGCCCTCAGGGAAGTTTTCCAGTCAGACAAAAGATATCCCAAGAAAAAACATGGATCTTCTGGGGATTCTAGACTTGGAAAGGAGCAAGATACATAACAGGAAATCAGACATGAAAATTCAAATTTCAAATTGCTACTTGGCTTTGCTTTTTCTTTAAAGTGAAAAGCAAACTTATTTTTCCAGTCATACACAAACACATACATACATACACACACAGACATACACACACACACACACACACACCACAAAAAATACATATATGGATTTATGTGGACTTTAGAAAGCCACCTAAGTGAATTTAAGAAACACATACATACACAAAGATACACAGAATTATGTGTGACTTAACAATGGGGATTGGGAATACATCCTGAAAATTATGTCCTTAGGCAATTTATCTTTGTGCAAACATCATATAGTGTACTTAAACTAAGATGGCTATGATATCACTGGTGATATAATCTTACTGGACCACCATTGTATATGCAGTCCATGGTTGACTGAAACATCATTATGTGGCACATGATGACTATACATGAAATAAAAAGTCCTAATGTTAGGGAAAAGTCCACATAAACTGCAGCATGAGCCAACCTCACTTCCCCACACCTTACCAGGGCTTGGTAAACCTCAAAGGGAATAAATACTGTCTGAATGAAGCCAGACAACTGGCCCCTTAAGAGCACATTTATAATTTATTTATGGCTTAATATTTTCCACTGATAGGATTAATAAATCATGTTTTCATCCAATGGTTTTCTCTGAGGTATGAATTTCTCTATTTTGATACCAGATCTTAACATGTTTTATTTTGCTTGTCCATTTTCCAGTTCATTTTTGCAGCTATAGAGAGAAATTTATTAGTCTGTATTGCCGCCTTTCTGCTGTTGTGGAGCTGGATTCTCTGAATACCCAACAGTCCCTGAGGGAAGCCATCTCAGACAGTGAGGTTGCAGCTGCCAAACAAAGACACCAGCAAGTTTTAGATTTCATTCAGGTAACAGTTTTTGGTTTTGGTTTTGGTTTTTTCAGGTAATGAGAAGGAAGAGGCAGGGTGGAAAGGGTAAGAAACAAGCAGGGGAAAAAAAAACAGCAATCTGGACTGATTCAAAGCACACAGTGTGCAAACAGCCTGTAGATCTGGTTAAAATATGGAGCTCAGGAAGATGTGTTTTCAAAGATTTAAGAAAACGTTACAGATAAATCACACTATTCCTAAGAACTGTATCAGCCATACTGTAGAAAAAAATAACCCCCAGAAATAATGATCAGAATATTGTTCTTGCCTGATATCCCATTGTTAATTCCAACAGAAAGAAAAATTTTAATCTACTCAATATCTCAGGGAAAAAAATGACCCATCAGTTTATGTTAACCCACATTCTTTAAGAACTGATATTCCCTGTGTTTTAAACTTTTGTCTAGCAAAGTTAACACTTTACTATGTGGCTACTGATATGAGAAAATATGTTCCCTGTCTATGGTCTTGTCTGTAAAGACCTCAAGGTGACAGCTCAAGGGGCTTATGAAAGGAGTACTAACTAGTAGTCAAAAGAATTTGGATCTGGCTTGAAATTGCCTCTAAATTCCTCAGCCAAATCTTACAATCTTTCCATCAGTTACCAATTCACACAATGAGTATAATAGCAACAGCCCCATTATAAATATCACCATGATATATATTCAGTTCAATTTGATAAATACTTATTAAACACCCAGGTGTCAGGCACTATATGGGAGATACAAAGTTGAAACAGATATAGTCCCTGACCATAAGGAGTTTAAAATCCAGGATGATGGACAGAATATGTGTAAATACTACTTGTAAAATGTGCTGTATTTGTTCTGATTGGCCTGCTCACCAAATGATTTGCATCTCTCTCCTGGATTTGAGAATAATTACAGTAAAACAGACAAGATAACTTCTTACAACGATCCAGAAAAGGGTAAATGAGAACTTAAGTTTTATGAACTTTGGGCAAATAATCTCTCAAAGTCCCAATTTCATCTGAAAAAAATAGGGATGATAATAATAATAGTACAACCTCACAGCTTTACTGAGAGAATTCAATAAGAGAATGCATGTAAAACCCCCAGCAAAGTGTCTGTCACCTCATAGGCATACAATAAATTATATATTTATTTACTCATTCATTAATTAAAAGGAAAATCCTTTGAAATATGACTACACAAGAACTAAGAGTTTGAAGTATTCAGGACACTTGCGAAGTACTAAGTAACAAATCTTTAGGATTATCCTACTTCCCTCATCCTGGAAAGGAGATATCTTAGGTGACCTCTAAGACTAAAGAAATAACTTTTCAAGAAGTTACTTGTTCTGGTCTGAGAATATAATATTTAAAAATTCAAAACATTTGGTTCAGTTATTTCCAGTAAAAATGGAACATGGTGGGAAAGGGATAGGAAAGGCAGAATGCAGCATGAGGAGAATACAGAAGACTGGTTCATCTTTCGAGCCTTACATAAGGGACAACATAGCACGTAAGAATAATAATGGAAAAGTCAAAGAACACATATTTTAGCCCTGAATCTCCCTCTGATTAACTCTGGAGTAGTGGACAATTTATTTGATCTCCCAAGGTCTCATTCCATCATATGTGAAATAAAAGGACTGAATTAGATCATATCTAAGGGCTTAGTTGGCCCTAATGTTTCACAATTTTTAAAGAAATACTTCTCCAACCATGCTCTGCCTTCTTCCACATAAGCCTCTCTAAGTCCAATGTGCTCATCCAATGAGGAAGCTGACTCTCAGTAGTCTGTTGCATCTTGAACTCCTCCCAGATTTCCTGGCTCTATTCCCACTTCCTTACCACTACTCTCGCTCTTCTCTTATCACTTACCTAGAGCTTCACTAACATTTTCTTTTTGCCTTTCATCATGCCATTAAAGTGGGATGGATAAAAACAGATCACGCCAGAAATTTTTCAAAGTTCTTGCCTGCTCTGGTGTCCCAGAGCAGGTAACTTGAGAGCCCCTCTACATACTCCCTTACAAGCCAGCCAGGTATACATAGACTTGGATAAAAGCCAATTCCCAGATGGTTCAAAAAATAACTTCTTAGGCTGGGTATAACCAGACCCATCTTCCTGCCCCAGAGTCTTCATCTTCAGTATACTACACCTTGTTCCACCCAACTTAAATAACTACATCATCTCTCCCCTTATCTATATTGGCTTCTCCTTCTCTCTCTCTCTCTCTCTCTCTCTCTCTCTCTCTCTCTCTCTCTCT